AGGGCACTACTATTTTAACTTTTTTGGGATTCTGGTAATAAATACGCAGCGAATGGCGTTGGGGAATGGTGTGTTTTAGCTCTGCTGCCTTTAAAGACGTCGAGATTCAAAAGTTATCACGCCTATAGGCATTGCTTATCTCAGCAACAGGTATTTGATAGTCGAGGCACTCGACCAACGGTTTCTCTTTTATTTTTCTATTTTTATCCGATTGTTCCCATGAAAGCTTTATTATATAATCGAATTTGAAGAAATTTAATTCGTATTCAAGAGTCGTTAAAAAACTCAGCTATACAATATACGTCTAATATATATTCCAAAAGGCTATATGATCGTCGTTCGATCCGGGTCGTTCCGAATTCTAAACTTCTTGTAAAAATCTTTTGCTAAAATTTCAGAGATAGACATGAATGCGTAGGAGCAGACAGACTTTTAGCTCGATACACTTGACCCAGCGATACTCCAACTTCTTTAACCCGTCTGAAAAATACGTTTTTTCGAGGTCTGCAAAATAGGCCTCTGTGGCGGCGACGACCTCCTCAATCGACGCAAAGTTCTCTCCAGCGAGTGACTTGTTCAAGTTTGAAAACAAAAAGAAGTCACACGGGGCCAAATCTGGAGAATATGGTGGATGGGGTAGCAGTTCCTAGCCAAACTCGACCAATTTTGCCGTGGCGAGGGCGGAAGTGTGAGCCGGTGGGTTGACCTGATGTAAAACCTTTTTTTTCTTCGCCAAATGTAGTCGTATATTATGCAATTCGGCGGTGATAGTACCGCGCTGCTGCCGTTTTGCCCTTCTCCAGGTAGTCGATGTAGATCACACCTTGAAAATACCAAAAAACGGTGGCCATCACCTTTCCGGCCGATGGGACAGTCTTCGCCTTCTTCGGAGCAGGTTCGGCGGGTGAAGTCCACTGTTTCGACTGTTTCTTGGAGTCTGGACCAGTGGGTCCATGCTTCGTTGACGATCACGAAACGATGCAGAAACTCCTTCGGATTGCGCTTAAACAGCGTCAAACACTGCTCTGAAGTGGTCTCACGGTTGCGTTTGTTGTCCGGAGTGAGCAAACGCGCCACCCACTGCAAGGCTATTAAAACTCATTGCTCAACACAGATTTTAAATTGGTATTTTACTGAAAGTATCGAATAACCAGGCCCAGGTAATTAAAAATTAAGATTATACGAAAATTAATTAATTTCTTTCGCAATTATGTATGCTCTTAGAGGTTTCTGGATTTGAGATTCGAGACCGACTGAGCGTGCGATTTATAAAAACGCTTTTGATTCCCACCAAAAGGGATAAATAAATAAAGTGCCAAAAAAACAACCCCAGCAAACAAATTTTTAAACGAAACCCGTTTGTGTTTTTCATATGCTGCTTCACTTAAAAACAAATTATTTAAGGGGTTATATACCTTTTTCAGAATCAAAAAATCGAAAAAAATGTTATAATTTTTTTTTGATGTACATACTTTCAACAATTTTTCTGCAAAATTTTTTAGAGATCGGAGCACTAGAACCTAAGATACAGCCGTTCATAGCGCACGGTGTACATGACTTCCTAATGTCCACCTAAAACTTTAAACGCGATTATCTCGGAATCGCATTTTTGAGAAAAGGTCATTGCGGTGAGCACGATATCTCGGTAACCACTACATCGATCGATTTGAAATTTTAGGGGATTGTTTGTAGATACAATAGCTAGTTCGTGAACGAAGGAATTTTATTTTCGACAAATTTTTCTATTTTTTTGGGGCGAAAAACTAAATTATTAGACCTCGAAAAATCGGAAAATTTTTTTGAAAAAAATAATCACTGTAACTGTAAAAAATTTTTTTTCGTTAAATCCTTCGTTCACGAACTAGGTAACACTATATTCTAACGTAGTTTTTTTTCTTTTTTTTTAAGTCGAGCCGTTTCCTTGTTTTCATGCTCACCGTGAGCCACTACTGAAAAAAGGACTTCTGCGGCAAGAACTGTAACTTCCAAAATTATGAAAATTTTCACTCGAAATTTTATACGAATTTACTTAAGGACACGTACGTAGATAAAATTTGTATTGTATTTCAATAAAACAATGGTAACATGCTAAAAAAAAATAAATAAAAACCCTGTATTTCTCTGGAGAAAAAGGTATATAACCCCTTAATTTCAATCAGTTTAAGGTTTCCGCGCAAATGGTATTATAATTTCAGTCAGAAGTTTGCAACGCAGTGAAGGAGACACCTCAGACCCCATAAAGTGTATATATTCTTGATCAGCATCACGATCTGAATCGAAATCCGTCTGTCCGTCGGTCCGTCTGTCCGTCTGAAGAAATTTAATTTGAAACTCAAGACTCATTAGAAAACTTTATATTCCAAAAATCATGATTGTCTGATGAAAAACAATGAGGTAATCATTTTATTTCCGTTATTTCTATATTGATTTTTTGATCTTTCCTATGGCAGCTATATGATATAGTACTCTGATTTTTATAAAATTTTTTTCTCGATTTAAGAGTATTTAAAAAACTTGATGTTCCAAAAATTATGCTCGTGGGATTAAAAACAACGACGTTATAATTGTTTTCCATTATTTATATATATATATTGATCTCTCCCATGGGAGCTATATGATAGAGTTATCCGATTTCGATAAAATTTAAACCGAAATTCAATAGCAGTAAGAAAACGCCATCTGGAAAAAATCAAGTTGATCTGATCAAAAACAACGTATTGGAGCTATCCGATATAGTCGGTCGATCCGGCTTATTCCGACTTATATACTGCGTGCAATAACTACACAACTTTTGGGAAAGTTTCAGCAAAATAGCTTTAAAACTGAGAGACTAGTTTACATAGAAACAGACAGACGGACCGACGGACAGACGGATTTCGATTCAGATCGTGATGCTGATCAAGAATATATATACTTTATAGGGTCTGAGGTGCCTCCTTTACTGCGTTGCAAGCTTCTGACTGCAATTATAATACCCTGTGCTCTGCAAGGGTATAAAAACACCCGGGCATGAAAATAGCATCGTTTCCTAGTCCTTGGCCTAAAAACGCAAGTTTTGTAGTTTGGTGGTGAAGGTACTTGAAACAGCTGTTGGCATCTTGCTGTCGAGAACCAATCCTCTGGGTCTCTAAACGCTTATCTGTTTTATCCGAATGTCATGTGTACATGACGCCCGATTGGCTAATCACCGACATCTGTAGTCGGGAATGGAGGGGCACTGAGGGGAAGCCCTCTAGGAAAGCTCAATAAGAGGGTCAGCTCTGCACCGGGGCCCCAAACCAGTTTTGCATGTGCTCCGTCCCCGGTGTAATAAAAATATTTGTGCTTTGGCAACTGTCCAAGTGAGCACGGGAAACTGAGGAAACCGGCCAAACCACCTAGTGTTTTCTGTTGTCAAGTGTCTCCGATCGATTGGAATTTCTTCGTATAGAGAACTCGAGCCGTTGGGTCAGAAATGATTTAATCAAGTCTTGAACGAAATGTTGCACTTTAAATCTCACGAACACTACGAACATATTAAAGGTATGCATACATGGGTTTAAAATATTAAAAGTTTATATACCCTTGCAGTAATCAAATATGTCGAACCAATTACATAGAGGCTAACAACATCGAAGCTATGAAAAACAACGATTTTATCATTTTTTTCGGTTAATTTCCGTTAATTCTATACAATTTTTTCGATCTGTCCTATGGTGTCAATATGATATAGTTTTCCTGTTTTTATGTATTTTTTTTCTCGATTTAAGGGTATTTAAAAAACTTGATGTTCTAAAAATCATAGTCGTGGGATATAGCTACCATAGGAAAGATCGAAAAATTTTAATAGACTTAACGGAAATAAAATGATAACATCGTTGTTTTTCATCAGACAATCATGATTTGTTAAATATATAGTTTTCTAACGACTCTTGAATAACGAATTGAATTTCATCAAAGTCGGATGACTATATCATATAGCTGTCGTATAAACAATAGTCGAAAATATGAAAAATTAATAGCAACAAGAAAAGAAGCTAGCTTCGGCAAGCCGAAGCTTAAATACCCTTGCAGTCGAAGAAAATACATAGAGGCTAACAGCATCGAAGCTATAACGTTTTTTCTATTAATTTTTCATATTTTCGGCTATTGTTTATATGTTTCAGCAAGATAGTTTTAAAACTGAGAGACTAGTTTACATAGAAACGGAAAGACGAACAGACATACAAAAGTATCTCGATTCTCATCGTGATAATGATGAAGAATATACATATATTATATACTTTATGGGCTCTGAGGTGTTTTCTTCACTGCGTTGCAGTAATAATACCCTTTGCTCTGCAAGGGTATAAAAATCGACATAGCTTCGATGTTGTTTAGCCTTTAGGTATTTTTTTCGACATACACGGTGCGTCCATTAAGTTTCGAGACATGAACCATATCTCAGCAAATAGTAGCGCCAGCTAGGTGTTCGAAGATGCATTTTAAAGCTTAAACCTTTTTCTATTGACGTGTCAAACTTCATTACATTTGCTTGACAAATAACAAGGATATGACAGCTTTTCCTAAACAGTTTTTGATCTGATGTTGAAATTCCAACATGGAACAAAGAGCAAAGATCATTGCAGAGAAGTCGTTGCAGCCGCCAGAAATGATCCAAACTTTCTGAAATCAATTGTTACTGGCGACGAAACATGGTGCTTTCAGTATGATCCAGAAACTAAGCGCCAAAGTTCGGAATGGAAGTCGAAAAACTCACCACAAGCCAAAAAAAGCGAAAATCTCCTTCAAAAATCAAAACAATGCTTATCACTTTCTTCGATAGTAAAGGCATTATCCACAAAGAGTTCATTCCAACTGGTCAAACGGTCACTGGCACGTATTATCTTGAAGCAGTGGTTCCCAAACTCTTTTCTTTCATAGACCACTTTCAAAATTTTGCTAGATCTGGCGGACCCCTATGCCTAAATTCAAAATCAATTCTCACAAATTATAATTAAACAAACATCAAAACGAAGATGTAGGTATTTCATTGTGTTGTAGGTATATATTCAAATATTGAAATTATTACAATATTAATTATTATTGTTATAATAGTCGTAACGTAATAAAAATTAAACACTTATAACGTAATGTAACTTCTACAATGGTAACTACGAAAAATGTATAATTTTAATGAGATGGATGTACATACTTGATGTTTTGTTAGCGAATTATCAATATCTGGCTTGAGTTTTGTAAGTAATAACCGCAAATCTCCCCGTTTTGTGATATTCAAGTATATGATAAGTTTGTAACGGCACTAAAACTTTTTTTTTAACGAGGGAAACGCTATAAGAAGCTTTTTCGCTATTGTCCACAGTCTTAGTTAGGTATTTCTGCCTGCAGCCAAAATTTTTGATACCCTTTTTTAAATGTTACTTTCAGCTCCTCATTAGTGCTAAGCTCGAGTAGCTCCTGTTGTAATATCACATTCTCCACTTCTGTTTCACAGTTGTACTGAATATGGAATATTATTATACATGTTTTTACAAGTAGCAGTCGCTGAGCTTCTTAAAACATTATCTGCCGATATTGATAGAAGAAGTCAAGCCAACATTTTAGTTCTTCACTATCGAGACTGAGTTAAATTTCATGCACCCCCGTACACAAAGTGTAGACCCCCATTTTTTGTCACGCCGAACGTAGACCCCCGTCGAGTTACCCGTGAACCCCCAGTGGTCCACCTGGACCACTTTGGGAATCAATGTCTTGAAGTTTTAAAGCATTTGATGGCCAGAATCCGTCGTACTCGACCCGAATATCGCGATCCAGAGAAATGGTGTCTGTTGCACGACAATGCGCCGAGTCACAAATCAATCATTGTTCGTCAGTTTTTGGCCCGAAATCAAGTCTGTGTGTTGGACCACCCACCGTATTCACCTGATTTGGCGCCTTGGGACTTCTCCTTGTTTCCAAAGTTGAAGTTGAAGTTGAAAGGATGCTTTTTTGAAGATGTTGAGACCATTAAAACGGCTTCGACATGAGCATTGGAGGCTATTCCACAAAATGAGCTGAAGCACGCATTTGAATCACTATTGAATCGCTGTAAGAAGTGTATTAAAGCGAAGGGAGAATACTTCAAATAATAAATTTGAAAAACTTGAAATATCTTGTTTATTTTGCGATTTATGGAATCAGTCTCGAAACTTAATGGACGCACCGTGTATTTGCCAAAGCTAGCTTCCTTTTATGTTTTGTTTTCACTTGTGATGATCCTGCTAGGAGTTATGCTGACAATGCCGGTGCCCCTATTTTCCACGGTCTCGCTGGAAAATACGTAACGCAGTCAGACCATTTAATTTTTGTTATTAAATTTGAAGTAATCTTAGGTTGAAATATAGGTTTAACAACAACAAAAATATAACAGAAAATGTAATTTTTTATATTTAAAGCCATAGTATTTGTAGGTCATTAAAAGATTTCTCGCTTAAATTATTATCAATAATTCACAAGTTTAACTAAAGTTGATCATTGGTGTGGTTTTTAAATGTTAAAATGATCATACATATTAATCAGATAATTTTTTTTTTTCATAGTGGCAAAGTACGCGTTAATGTCTCCACATGGGGCAATCTCCTTAGCTAAAAATTGCAATTTGTTGGCAGCAGAAAAACTCTCCTTTACCTGAAGGATTTAAAATATTTAGGTGATTGTCATTTGCAGTTTACTTTCCGACCTTTTCGTTACAAAGTTTTGATCAATATACCATACGTAGTCCCACAACCTGTATAGTACTGTATAGTATACCGTATTAATCCAGCTAACCAACCGAAAATTCGACTCGCTCTCGTTTTCCACCTCCGCCGGAGAGCTGGTACACACGACTGGTTACCGATTTCTTTACGTTTCTCGGCAGTATACCTCAGATTTTCGTTCACAGCCGAATGCATTTCTAATCCAGCTCAACAGCCCCGTCCCGATTGAATGCTGTACAAGTGGGGGCCCTGAATTGCCCAAGACTTTCATAAGAAAGTTACAAAATTAATCCGGAGAAGAAACTCTAAAAAAAGGGGTCTCAGAAGTTTCTTCGTTTTTTTTTGGGCCGAGCCAAGCGAAAAAATTTCTCAAGAGCGGATTAGTGGGGAGGGTTAGTAAAAATAAGAATATAAATGGTTCAAGGTGTCCTAATCTTAGTCTCCAGACGGGAGTTGCGCAAGCGAAAATCAATTTTCTAGTCATCCGTCAATTTTCATAAGCCGATCGGATGTTAAAGGTATCTACATATATACGAGTATATGTATATAAATATATAATACATGTTGGATGTGGAGAAAAACTTGTTTGGTCTGTGTGCGATTTCCCTCGTCACCGGGGACGGTGGAAAATTGCGCGTAAGCCGAAATCGTGGGACCTCGTGATATAACTCGGAGTATTTAAATTTCACTCGGGTTTTACCTATTTTAGTTGTGGAAGGCAGAAATTGAAATAAAATATAGCACGAGGTGGGGTTCTTTAATGTTCGAGTCAGAGCTTAAGACTCAAAGTGCAATCGGTGGAACTAGATAAACGATAAAAGCAGACTGCTAAGTAGAGGTTAAAAAAAAGGTGACTTAAGGTAATTTAGGGTAAGAGGTGACAGATGATAAATTGAGTAATTCTTCTGCTTAATTTTAATAATGTTTATTATAATAGGTTTTAAACCCTTAAAAAATGTATATATATATATATGTATATGCACACTTAGCAAACCCAAAAAGCAAACGATCAAAGAACTGGAAACTTTTTCAGATGTGTGACGGACGATGAACCCCCGTAGCCCCACCATTTTTTTTCATTGTTACTCAAATACCGGACATACCGTAAAGTAAAACATGTTTTTCGGCTTGCATTCCCCTGCGGAATTTCTTTTTTACTAATGAAAATACATGTTGTATGTGGAGAAAAACTTGTCTGGTCTGTGTGCGATTTCCCTCGCCACTTGGGAAGGTAGAAAATTGCGCGTTAGCCGAAATTGTAGAATGACTGACAATGTGCCCAGACGTGGGGAGCGTGATATCACTTGAAGTTTTTACATTTATGTATATTATGTATCAATATAATTTGTTCAAAGGCAGAACAAATTAATAATTAAAAATAGCACGAGGTGGAGTTATACAATGTTTGAGTTAGAGACTCAAAGTGTGTTGGTGCAACCAAATAAACGGCAAGTGCGACTTATAGTAATATATGATGAAGAGGGAAGATCACAAATCTCCAGCAAAATGCATAAGGGCATTAATTTTTAATATTTTCACCGATTTGTTGCTATGACAACCATGTGATGTAGTCGTTCAATTTTCATTAAAATTCAATACGAAATTCAAGAGTCGTTAGAAAACATGCAACCATGATTTTTGTAATATCAAATTTATTAATCACTTTTGTAGGAATCGAAATAACTTAAAAAACAAAATTAATTAATTTTAATTGTACTATATATAAGATTCAGCTAACCGAAACTAGCTTCTTTTATTGTTTTTGAACCATAATGAACCATAATTACTTAAAATTACGAATTTAAAAAAAAATGGGTTTTCATTTTAAGCATTTCTATATGTTTACGCATTTTTGCTGAATTCAGTTTGCAATACATCATTTTGTCAGCAAATTAGCTACAAAATAATTAATATAATACTACTGTAATTTGTATACAGCTAATAATTATTATATCTCTATGAAATTTCAGTCCTTCGCAAGCAAACATTCGGATGCAGAGTCGCTGTTGCACAACATGAATGTAAAGTACTACTACTACACGAGGACTCGTGGTTTGTTCAGGGTCTGCTATCCGAAGGAACGCCCGCCGGTTTCAGCGGGTGAGTGAACACTTTGCTGTTCCGCAAGATATATGAGATGTCTAATCCCTGATCCCCAACCCCGTAGTGCCCACTTATCTGTCGCCTATTGAGACGCACTGCTCGAACATCGACTACTTCCCGCAGGCGGAAGACGAGAAGATCGCCAACGAGGACGCCACCTCAAGACTTCACTTGGCCCGCTCCTGCATTGCCCTGTTCATCATCAGCTTCGTGACTATTTTCTGCTCCTTCTGGACCGGCCTCTCCGGCTGCTGGAAGCGGTCCTCGGGCGCCATTACGGCCACCTCGATCCTGCTGCTAGTCACCTGCCTCCTGGCTGCCGGCGCCATGGGACTCTGGCACACAGTCGAGTTTTTTGAAAAGGAGAAAGTCGTCGGCGAGGACTATTTTCAGCAGTGGAACACGGTAAATGGTCCTTACACATATCCCAAAGAATCCAAAGCTTTCCATTTAAACTAAAAGAATTTACTTTCATTTCGTTTATGAAGTATGGTCGTGTTAATTTTTGAAACCTTCGCAGACGGTATTAAAATTTTAGACATATGTCGATAACGCAGTTACAGCAAGCTGTTCAAGACTATATATATAATTTAAGGGGTCGGGCGTAGCTTCTTCAGTGCGTTGCCATCTTTTGGTTTACAAATTTGAAACCCTCTGCAAGGGTATTCAAAAGTTTTTTTTTTTAAGGATCGGATATATCACATAGCTGCCAAAGAAAAAATCAGAAAACAAGAGTTTATCATATTGTTATACCCTTGCAGAATGTATTATAATTTCAGTCAGTAGTTTGCAAAGCAGTGAAGGCGACACCACCTCAGACCTCATAAAGTATATATGACCTCATAAGAATATATATTCTTGATGAGCATCACGATCTGAATCGAAATACGTCTGTTCGAAATTCAAGTCAATATGATAAAAAACAACGGCGTGATAATTTTTTTATTCTCTCGTATGGGAGCTATTCGATCTCGTCGCCCGATCCGGCGACTACACTGCGTGCAATAAGTACAAAACTTTTGGCAAAGTTTTAACAAGACAGCTTTAAAACTGAGAGACTAGTTTACATAAAAACAGACAGACCGACAGACGGACGTACAGACGAACAGGCGTATTTCGATTCAGATTGTGATGCTGATCAAGAATATATACTTTATGGGTCTGAGGTGTCTCCTTCACTGCGTTGCAAACTTCTGACTGAAATTATAATACCTGTGCAGGGGTATAACAATTGTTGCTGACTTTCTAAAAGTTGGGTTAACAATTGCAAACAAAACTAGCTATCTAGTCGTTTTATAGACTTAGGTTACAACTGCAAGGGTATATAGGCTATGGCTCGCCAAATCTTTCCTTCTTGCTTAAAATAAGTTTGGGTTTAAAAGTTTTACAGTCTTTCTGCAGTAAAGAAAATTTCTCCAGATTTTTCAACAAAAAACGTATTGATGATTTGGATGTATTGCTCAGGTTCTGCGCGACAACACGAAGATTTCCTACGATTGGTCGTACATCGTGGCCTGGGCAGGAATCGGTACCTGTCTCCTGGCGGCAATCCTGCTCTCGGGAGCGGCCGTTTGTCTGCGCAACGAGCGCGAGAAAGAGGAGCAGCTGAACCTGCAGTATTTGATGCCTGGTAAGATCGAATCCGATCTCTTGACTATTCAAGTTGCTATTTACCCTATCCCGATTCCAGTTTACTCGCAAAAGCAGCCGCCCTATCCACCGTACGCCAACTATGCCCAGCCCCAGATCTACCCAGGACCCTACTACCACGGCTCGCAGTACGGACCCTACAACTACTAGGTGTAGCTAGTGGCGGGGAAAGTCCGAATGAAAGCGCAGTGAAAGCCGTGAAAAACGAACAGCAGTAAAATCACAAATGACCAAGAGAAAACCTAGAACTTCAACAACCCTACACAGTAATCAAAACACTTGGCGATCAAGCAGAGCAACCGGTAACGGAATTTTAAATAGCATTCGGACAATGACAATAATATACACCTTTTTTTTGACAAGAACTTAGTTTGTAGGCTATATAAAGCTATATAAATTATGCTTGTATGTATAACTGATCGTGGGACTTGAGTCAAATTCGCAGTCTGAGTTTTCGTCGCGCATAATTTTGCAAATATATACAAGGAAGATGACAAAGTAAATGGACCGTTGTATGTTTTGGCCACGGTCGGAAGCGAACAAAAGACAACAATAAACGTTTAATTTATTGTAGCAAGTAAAGCACTTTTAGAGTATTTAAAAATAATAATAAACAAAATATGTATGTACCTAAGCTAAAAGTTTCATTGTACGATGTACATATATGAAGCAAGACAAGCTTAAAATTGTCTTCCATGTATTGTGCATATTGTATTTAGAGAAATACGTTTTATAAATAAAAGTTTATTATGTTAAAATACATAGTTCCTTTCGCTTGGAAGGAAAAATGTTGACTGATCATTAAGATAACAAATGCAGAACTACAAGTAAGTGCCAAGAACAAAACGAAAAACAACGACTATAGAATAAAGTTACTCTTTCGACAAGAAATTTTGGTCACGCTACAAGGAAATACATTTTATTAACGTTTTTATACTTGATATGTAATATGTAATGGTCTTTGGAGTTTCTTTAAATTGGTTTTATAATAACTTTTTTTTATTTTTTATCATTTCTTTAATTTTAGTCTACAAGACAGGCTTAAAAAATCAAAATAAAAAACATTTTGTGTTTGTATGGTAAAAAAGAGAGGAAACTAGCTTCGCCGAGCAGAAGCTAATATACACATTCACAGTCATCACAAATGTCGAGCGAAACGCATAAAAACTAAACAACATGAAAGTTATGAAGAATTTACTATGCATTTTTACCGATTACACTGCCGCTCAACTGAATAGGTTCATGACAGCAGAGGTAGTAATTTGTCTATAATTCCTAAACCAGTGTACCGATTTCCATAATTTTTTTTCCTTACTTCTTGAATCATATTATAATAAAATGCTGAAGAAAGTTTTTCAAAAACATATTATTTATTCCTTATTTAATTTTTAATATTTAACAAAAATGCATAATTTTTTAACGGTCATCTGAATAGGTTCAACCTAAAACAATTAAAATTATTTAACACCAAAATCAATTTAATTTAGAAGCGTAAATCAATAGATACAACTATTATTATCTCGATCTTCGAAAGGAAGAGCATTTCCTTAGCCGTCGTCATAGCTGTGAGGGTGGGGTAATGGTGTGGGGGTATCGATAAACAACTTTAATAGGCATGATAACCAGCGTTGCCAATTCAGCTATTTCCCCGCTAGATCTGGCGGTTTTCAAAAAGAAAATGCGGGATAAATTGAAAACTACCGGCTAGCGGGAATTATAGCTCTTTTCAAAGCAAAACTGACGGAATTTTATCTTTTTAAAAACAACTGGTACCTTCTTGTATTTTTATGTTCTACGATGTCACTCTTTAAAAACTTGCAGTATCTTTGCATTGGAATGGTAATGAAACATCGATATGTCAAAAGATCTGTACATTTTTATCGATTTTTACTAGCTTTACCATCACCATCTGGGTGTTTCACAATTTCAGCACTGGAGGGAGAAACAGGCAAACTTTTTAATGATATCATATTTACAATAAATTCATAAAAAAGCAAAATAATTCCCGCTAATGTCAGTATTGATACATATTTTTATACCCTTGCAGATTATAATTTCAGTCAGAAGTTTGCAACGCAGTGAAGGACACACCTCAGACCCCATAAAGTATATATATTCTTAATCAGCATCACGAGCAGAATCCGAATACGTCTGTCCGTCTGTCCTCCTGTCTGTTTCTACGCAAACTAGTCTCTCAGTTTTAAAGCTATCTTGCTGAAACTTTCCCAAAAGGATCGGCCAACTATATCGAATAGCTCCCATACGAGAGAATGAAATAAAAAATTCTGACGCCGTTGTTTTTGATCAGATCGACTTGATTTCTTCCAGATGGTGTTTATTAACTACTGTCGAATTTCGGATTAAATTTTATCAAAATCGGATAACTCTATCATATAGCTGCCATTGGAGAGATCGAAAAATATATATAGAATTAATGGAAATTAATTGATAACGTCATTGTTTTTCATCACACGACTATGATTTTTTGAGTATCAAGTTTTTTAAATAACCTTGATTTATAAAAAAAACTATATCATATAGCTGCCATAGGAAAGATCGAAAAATCTATATAGAATTAACGGAATTAAAATGATACCATCGTTGTGATGATTTTTGGAATAAAGAGTTTTCTAACGACTCTTGAATAACAAATAAAATATCATCAAAATTGGACGACTATATCATATAGCTGCCATATGAACAATAGCTTTGATGTTGTTTAGCCTTTGTGTATTCTGTTCGAAATATTTGATGACTGCAAGGGTATATAAGCTTCGGCTTACCGAAGCTAGCTTCCTTGCTTGTTAAAAACGATTTAGAACATTTGGTAAACACGGTTGCTGTTTGAGATATGCATTCGAGACAAAGCTCAAAGAACATAATGAAAACATCTCGAACGACATTGAGGCAGAAATTCTTTTAAAATGTGTTAACTATGCTGTTAATGCTATATTAGCATTGATTAATGATTAATTCATATAGAGCAATTTTAATGTTTCGCAGTTAAGTTGCACATTCTTTTTTGATAAAACGGTTAAAGATAAAAAGCTGAAATTTTAAACTTTATTTGAAAACATATTTATTTTGCGAAAAAAAATTTCGAAATCAAAAATATCAAAAAAGGGGCGGAAGGGGTCGTTACTCAGTGGCGGCATGTTGTCGAAAAGGTGTCTCGCTTACGGAAGTGATTTAGCCAAAACGGGTAATCGCAAACACAAAAACCAAAAAGATTCTTAAAATGTACAGTACTATGCATAAAATGAACTAGGATCAGAAAAAAAAATGAAAATTGCAAAAGTTATTAGCTTTTAAAAAAAAAAAAGTTCGATTTTCGAGCTTCTTTTCTCACTAACTATTTTCTCAATTAAACAGTTTTCAATATTTCGGGATAATCCTAGTTCATTAGTTAAAGGAAACAATTAGGAACATTTAACAAAAAATTTGATGACGATTGGCTAACCCCAACGCCTTCAATTACTTCCGTAAGGTCCGAAAACGTGGTTCCGAGATAAACGCGTTTAAAGTTTTGGCTTCAAATGGCCGGTGCTCGACATGTGCTCCATGTAAAGGCCTTTAACTCTTGTAAATTTTAAAAACTTTGGAGCATATATATATACGATAAGCAAAAAAAAAATCGATTTTTTTTCGGCACAAGGTGAGAACCTGCCTTAAACTCCATTTTACACATAAGGTATTTTATCTGCTTAACCCAAGTTTTATAATATTATTACGCCGGAAAAATAAATGCTTTTAGAACTATGCCAGTCGATTTGTCTAAAAAAGATTGGAGCCCATCAGGACCTACAAAAATTCAACCGGATAAGAGGGCATGATTGACGAAATTTTCGAAATACTCAAAAATACTTAACAAATAAATCAAATTGTTAAAAATATTGTTTCACCATAGTAGCTTTATATTTTAGTTATCATCCATATTTTCTGGCGGTTTTTAGATTTGTTACTTTAGCTTCTTTATGACCAGAAGAGTTAGCAACACTGATGATAACTTTTAAAAATCTTAACGGGCTGTTGAATTGCTCCATACTTTGGTACAAGTAGCCGTGGGAAATGTTGATCAACGCTATTTGCTGGATTTTTGTCACCAGAGTCGATATTATTAAACCAAATTTCTGGCACACGATCATTCCAATATTCTTCCAAAGTATTGTAACATAAAAACAGTGTTGCCAACTCTTCTGGTCATAAAGAAGCTAAAGTGACATATGAAAAAAGCTAGAAACCGCCAGAAAATTCGGTTGATAGCTAAGATTTAAAGCTATGATACTTGACTTGACTTATTTATTAATTATTTTTGAGCATTTCGTAAATTTCATCAATCTCCTTTTCTTCTGCTGCATTTTTATAAGTCTGATTGGTTACAATCTTTTTCAGACAATCTGCTGGAACTTCATAGTCTGGCAGCATTTATTCTCCCGGCGTAATCCGTAACTACAAATATGATATTAAATGATATACAAAACAATGACGTCTCTCGATGGCAGGTTTTCGTAGAAACAGATGAAACAAACGTTATTATGTTCGTCTGTGAAAAAGCAGTTGACGAAGACTTATGTTTTGTTGGCTTGACATGTGCGTGCAAATCGCAAAGCTTTGCATTAATGCTAGATTTGCAATATTTGCAATAGCATTTTAGGTCATCGGATCTATAGTTAACCAATCCTTAAACGCGGGGTTTTTGCTTGTAAATTTTCGGCATTTTAATTCTCACACGCGGTCGATTTGAAAACTGTGAAATGCCCAGATGGTGATGGTATAAAGCTTCCAAAAACTGATAAAAATGTAAGGATCCTTTGGCACATCGATGTTTCTTTACCATTCCATTGCAAAAATACTGCAAGTTTGTTATGTGCGGCCAAACAAAAAAAATTTAAAAACTAAATAAAATGTAAACAATGTATGTTTACCAACGGCCGCCGATAATAACTTATCGATCATGCGTGAGTCCAGGCAGGGTTGCGATTTTTTTTAAGCCTCCGGAACTGGTTCCCAAGGAGTTACTGAGCCACAAGTGAACCAAAGGTGAATTTGGAAAAAACTTGAGTGCTTTTTTCTGGCGAAGAGAGGATTTAAAAAAAAGGGCAAGGAGAATAAGTGGCGAAAATCAGTGGTTTCGAGTTGCAGAAAATTTGATTAATTAATGTTAATAATTCCTACCTAATATTCCGGAGCGAATATCCGGTCAGGAAAAAGAAAATTCAGGAGGAATAAAAAAAGACCAGCCACCAGGAAGGGACAACTTTTCGCCCCGAAAATTGGCCACTCATTCCTGGGTGGCCACAGGTTTTTATTCCAAACCTATTAAAAAAAAAATCAAAAATCGTATACCGACCGAACTCGCTAACAAAAAAAAAGACTACAACACAAATAAAAAAAACTACCCGCAAGTTCCAAATCCATAACCTAACTTATATAATTAATTATGTAACCCGCCCGAATGAAATTGTTAAAATATTTATTTATTTAAAATCATAATTATTTATTTACTAGAAAATTAACTAAAGTCGGATTATGATGTTATTATTTATTTATCCATAATATTCGCCCTATTTATTCCCTACTTATTCATTATTTATTTATTTCTAATTTATTATTTGATGTTTCTTGTAATTCGTCCCGCGGTACCGTGGTTAGGTGTTAGGTGTAATATATGTTAGTATGTAAGTATAAAAAATTATGAATTATAACGTGTTACAAGAAAACAAAACATGAGTGAGTAGAGTTTGCAATAGGGGGGTGAGATAAAATAAATAAATCCACGAATATGATAATAGGGAGGTGCAATATAAGATGCACCCATGGTTGGGAGGGCCTCAGAAAACTCTAATTCCATCTTTTGAGTCCATATGTATCTGTCCCAAAATCCATTGTTTTTTAGTCCATGTTCAGATTGTAGGTTCAAAATTCCGTTTTGTTTATTTTTGTTGTGTCTGCCGTGTAAGTGTTCGCTATGGTTGTTCCTCTCCCTGGGATATCGATGGCTAGTCGGCAAGCTGGACTACACACCCGAAAAAGGCAGGACATGACAAGTTATTAAAGTGTGGCATCGTAAAACATAAAAAACAAGAAGGTTGTCATGTCCTGCCTTTTTCGGGTGTGTAGTGCAGCTTGCCGACTAGCCATCGATATCCCAGGGAGGGGAACAACCATGGCGAACACTTACACGGCAGTCACAACAAAAATAAACAAAACGGAATTTTGAAACTACAATCTGAACATGGACTAAAAACAAACGGATTTTGGGACAGATACATATGGACTCAAAAGATATAATTTGATTCTTCTGAGGCCCGCCCGACCATGGGTGCATCCTATATTGCACCTCCCTAATATGTAACTCGTGGAAATATTTATTTCATCTCACCCCCCTATTGCAAACTCTACTCACTCATGTTGTTTTCTCTATCTCGTTATAATTCAATTTGGTACTTAAATATTAACATGTATTACATCTAACACCTAACCACGGTACCGCGGGACGAATTACACGAAACATTAAGCAATAAATAATAAATAAATAGAGTGTAATAAATAATAAATAAATAACTATTGTATAATAAATAATAAATAAGTACGGCGTATATCACATGTTAATATCAAGGTTTCAACTACTTCATTTACTTTACTTCTTTTTGGAATTAATTTTTGGACTGTTGGATTATTTCATAAATATTCACTTCATATTTTGTCTTTGATTTTAACTTAAATCTAATTTGTTTGTAATAAATAAATAGTTAAGCTAAACAAAAACCTGAGGGCCACCCAGCGATGAGTGGTCAAATTTTTTTTTAAAGAAAATTTGTCCTCTTCCTTTGGGTGTTGCTCCTCCTTCAACTTGTCCAAGAAAAATAGATCCGATGTCTTCTTCGGGATTGAATCTAAACACCAATTTATTACTCTTTACTTTGAACACTTTTTTTTTGTTTTTTTTTTATTATTATTTTACTCACTTTTCATGAAAAATCTTATTAAATTTTGAAAATTTTATGCCTTCTTGATCACCTTCCGTAACCTCTTCAACAACCTGCACTTTTTCTTTTCTTTTCCTCTCCTCGCCCAAAAAAATACTTAAAGTTTTTCAAATTCAACTTTTTGGTTCACTTGAGAGTTATTCCTGGGGAACCAGTTCCTGAGGCTTAAGAAGTCGCAACCCTGCCTGGACTCACGCAGAATCGATAATTTGTTATCGGCAGGCAGTTGGTAAACAAACATTGTTTACATTTTTGTTTTGTTTTTAATTTTATTTATCGCCGCACATAACAAGGTACCGGATGTTATTAAAAAGCTAAAATTCCATCAATTTTGCTTTGAAAATAGCTATAATTCCCGCTAGCCGCTAGTTTTCAATTTATCCCGCATATTGCTTTTGAAAACCGCTAGATCTAGCGGGGAAAAAGCTAAATTGGCAACGCTGCATAAAAACGGTGGACGCCACAGAACCAGTGATGCCAAAATTTTTTCGAAAAAAAAGGACAGATTAAGTTATAATTATAACAACATAATGTATGGCGATGCAATCCGAATCTGAAGAATGAATACATGTACATGAATGAATAGCTATCGCAGCTTCTTGGCAACAAGTTTCTGAAGTTTTGACCGGCTCGAAACTAATTTTACTTGATTTCACTAAACTTGATGTATTTTGCGCATGTTTTTTATCGTCATGTGCGCTCTTATTTGGTCAATTTTACAGTTAATACCTTGCCATTAACAAGGCAAGTCTGAATTATATCGGCTAATCCAATCTTTAAAATCGGGCTGCAGTAGCCAGACATCCCAAAACATTTGCTTATAAATTTCTTTTGACATTTTTAATTAAAAAAAACAAATTTTGAAATTGCGTGTTAATTACCGAAAGAGAGAGTGCAAGTAAATCGAAAAAGATTTGTTTTTCGATGAATTTTTTACCGAACTGTCGATATAAGCACGGCAGACGAAAAGCCACCTGTTTCATGTTTTACAGCTGATAATAAATTTAAATTGGAGCGTGAAAGCAACTATTTTAGAAAAAAAATTAATATTAGATTTAAAAAAAAGGACAGATTTCCGGATGAAAAATCTAAAAAAAAAAGACAGATTTCAGGTATCCGGATGATTTTCAATTTTTTCCGAATAGAGCGTTAAAAACAGGACAGATTTGTCCGGAAAAAGGACAAATTGGCATCACTGCACAGAACTGCAAAAACATCGATCAGAACATTAATGCATCGTAAAATTTCAAAATATCGATTTCAGTGCTTGTGAAACCGATTTTCGTAGCTCTAGTGTTGGCTAATACTGCAGTTCAATTGGCCTATATACATATGTGCATGCAAATTGTATCAAACACAAGAATCTTTGTAAACAACAAAAAATGAGTGGCGAAAAGGCCGAAAAGGCCAAAATTAGTGCCCAGATCAAGCACGTCCCGAAGGACGCCCAGGTGATCATGTCCATCCTTAAGGAGCTGAATATCCAGGAGTACGAGCCGCGCGTGGTTAACCAGATGTTGGAGTTTACCTTCCGTAGGAGCCAAACATTTTTTATCTGCTTTACATTTTTGTAATTGCTATACCTGTTTCAGGCTACGTGACTTGCATCCTGGACGACGCCAAGGTGTACGCCAATCACGCGCGCAAGAAAACCATTGACATGGACGACGTACGTCTGGCCACCGAAATGACGTTGGACAAAAGCTTCACCGGACCGCCGGCACGTCACGTTCTGGCCAAGGTCGCTGACGTGCGGAACGGCATGCCCCTGCCGCCCATCAAGCCGCACTGCGGTCTCCGCCTGCCCCCCGACCGCTATTGCCTCACTGGCGTCAACTACAAGCTGCGGGCAACCAACCAGCCCAAGAAAATGATCAAGTCAGCGTTGGAGGGGCGCCCACTTAAGACAGTTGTCAAGCCCGTGTCCAGTGCCAACGGGCCAAAGAGGTCCCACTCCGTGGTGGCTAAGCAACAGGTGGTGACCATTCCCAAGCCCGTGATCAAATTCACTGCCACTACGACTACTAAAACGATGTCCAGCTCGGGAGCACCAGTTTCGGGCGGTCTAGATGTGAAGAGCGAGCCCAGTGGCTCCGGCGGGGACCTCAAGATGGAGGTAGATAACGACGCGGCGGCTGTAGGCAGCATTGCCAGCGGATCCGGATCTGGAGCCGGAAATTCCAGCGGGGCAGGGGGATCCTCCTCCGGCATGGGAGTATCTATCAAGCGGGAGCGCGAAGAGGAGGAAATTGACTTTATCGCCAACTAGCAACACGAAGATTCTCACCTTAAATATATTTTATATTTGAAAAAATTGAACACCAAAGTATTTTTGAATTTTTGATCAACATCATCAGTCGATCTAGACCTGTACATAATTTCTGTCTGTTCGTGTCTTTTTCAGCTTTAACTCTCTCTCTCTCGTTGAAGCTTTACCAAAAGTCTTGTAACCGTTGCTGGTTTAATAGTGCAAAAAAAAATTATTTCACCGTGTTTTTTTAATTGGCGAGCATCAATAAACCCTTGCAGTGCAAAGGGTATTATAATTTCAGTCAGAAGTTTTCTACGCTTTGAAAAAGACACCTCAGAGTACATAAAGTATATATATTCTTGATCAGCATCGCGATCTGAATCCAAATACGTCTGTACGTCTGTGCGTCTGTCCTCCTGTCTGTTTTTACGCAAACTAGTCTTTCAGTTTTAAAACTATCTTGCTGAAACCCAAAAGTTGTGTAGTTATTGCACGCAGTATATAAGTCGGAAAGGGCCGGATCGGCCGACGATATCGGATAGCTCCCATACGCGAAAATGAAATAATAAATTCTTACGCCGTTGTTTTTGATCAAATCGACTTGAATTCATCCAGATAAAATACATATATAAATTATGGAAAAAAAATTATAACGTCGTTGTTTTTAATCCCACGAGCACGATTTTCAAAATATAGAGTTTTTTAATAAGCCTTGAACTAGAAAAAAAAATTAAAAATCCGACAACGTTATCATATAACTCGCATAGGAAAGATCGAAAAATCTATATAGAAATAACAAAAATAAAATTATAACATCGTGGTTTTTCATCAGACAAGCATGATTTTTGGAATATAGAGTTTTCTAACGAAAAACATGGCCGTGTAATAAAAACATCGACGTTATCAATTTATTTCCATTTATTCTATATAGATTTTTCGACCTTTCCTATGGCAGCTATATGATAGAGTTATCCGATTTTAATAACATTTAATCCGAAATTCAATAGTAGTTAGAAAACGCCATCCGGAAGAAATCGAGTCGATCTGATCAAAAAAAAACGGCGTGAGAATTTTGTATTTCATTCTTCCGTAAGGGAGCTATCCGATATAGTTGGCCGATCCGGCCCGTTCCCACTGCGTGCAATAACTACACAGCTTTTGGGAAAGTTTCAGCAAGATAGCTTTAAGGGGCACAACTAGTGTGACGGCCTAAAAAAATGGTGATGTTTGGGAATTTTTATAAAAAAAACTACTTGATCAATTCTTTTCAAATTTTCAGAATATATTTATACATGTTTTAAGAATGTATAGTGAAATTTTTAAAGAAAAAAGTTAAATATTTTTTAAGTTATAGTCGATCTCCAACGGCGCTAAAAAAAAAAGTGCCTTAACTGCTGCAGTGATTCCGGCCCTCTCCGTGGACGAAATCAAAAAATGAAAAATTCTCGTGAAACTAGATAATATTTTTCATACCATGAACTACGATAAAAAAAAAATATCAAAAAATGACAAAATGGCAGCGTTTAAAAAAAAAAAATCGAATTTTAACCAAAATTTCGGTCGTTTTTTGCCTGCCAAAATTCGATTTTTGATCGGATCAAAAAACCGATAGTTCATGGTACGTAGAACTATATAAAGAACATGTAAAAAAAATTTGGTAGTGATAGGATCATTAGTTTTTGAGTTATCACTGCAGCAAATTCGGAAAATGCTGTTTCGAGAAAAACGCGTTTAAAGATAAAATGATCGCTTGCACTGCTATGAGAGCGGCTGCTCTTAAAATTGCTATAACTCAAAAACTATTTGAGATATCGATTTTAAATTTTAATATGTTATTTTTAAAGGTGTAATCCACCGAAATATGAAAAAAAAAATTTTTGATTTTTTTAAAACTTCACACTAGTTGTGCCCCTTAAAAGTGAGAGACTAGTTTGCGTAGAAACAGACAGAAGGACAGACGGACATACGTATTTCGATTCAGATTGTGATGCTGATCAAGAATATATATACTTTATGGGGTCTGAGGTGTCTCCTTCACTGCGTTGCAATCTTCTGACTGAAATTATAATACCCTTTGCTCTGCAATGGTATTTTTATACAGTAGAATCCGGTTATAACGACTTTCAAGGGACCGACCATTTTTCGTCGTTATAACCGGAAGACGCACTAAGCAAAAGGAGGAACAAAAAATTTTTTTTTGATTATTTAATGGTTGCTGTATTTGTAATAGGTTTTTAAAATAAATCAAATTAATTTTTTAATTAAAACGAAAAATTTAATAAATTAAATTCAAAAACATAGGTTTTTCTAAATACTGAAAACTATATGAGTTTATTTTTGCACATATTGCATTTGGCAAATTAAAACATTCAGTTTTACTCGGAAAAAAGCAGAAAAAACTAGAAATATAACGGGACATCTCATGGAATAGACTATGAGGTCTGCACACACAGTGTGACGTCGGCATTGCACTTCGACTGTCTGTCTCTCGCAGCAGCGTTGTTAAGGCGACAGCTAAAACTAACAGAGAGTTGTGCCAGTGCAAGATCCTTCGTGTCGCTGCTACGCACACAAGCAAGGGTGCCGATCACTGACAAATACATACATTTCTAACAGCGTGTTTTGATGCTTAAATTTGGAACTATGGCACTGTATTTTTTCCGGTACGACGCAATATCCGGTTAAATTTTCCAATTTTCTTGAGAAATTTCATTCTTATAAGCGGTTTGTCGCTAAAAGCGGAAACGTTTTAAGCGGAGGCCCTTTCATATAACTTTGTATGGGGACCAACCAAACCATCGAGTTTTCGACGCACAACCCGGACGGACACTATAAGCGGAGTCGTTATAACAGGATTCTACTGTATTTGTAATTAATAATTCTTTTTTAAAGAAATCAGCTGTTCTGCATGTCGAGTGGAAAAGTGCGAAAAGTTATTATATTAATATAGTAACTAGGCTATTAAAGATAAAGTTCTATATGTTTGAAATTTTTTTATGTGTAAATATATTGTGAGAATAAGAAGCAAATAATTTTGTAAAACATACCCAAAGTCTTTAACAATGTTAATTTTTAGGAAGCTAACGTTTAATAAATATAGAATTGCAGATCCGAGAAAGAAAGAGAGAGCGCTTGAGCAGTTTCAAATTTAGTCATATATTTATTTAAAGTTCTGAAGCCAACAAATATGTCCATATGTATTTATAAGTGAAACTAAAAAATGTTTAAATAAAGTGTTAAACATTTTGGCAGCCTAAAAAATCATAATGAGTTAAAAGAGGAATTGTTATTTTAGAGCTCAAAAGACGCAGCAGCCGAATCATAACACTGTGCGACAAAAATGTTTAAGTTGATTTTTTCTTATTTTTCACTTCTACTAGTCAAAATAAGAATATAAGTTTTTGGATTTGTTAATATCAATAGCCAATCAGCTTCTACGCACACTCAAATGTCCCAAAAACGCGTGTTTTTGCATATTTCACAGCCTTATAATCACATATTGGGAAAATATTTTTTCACTGTTATAAGCGTTTTATGCAAGTTCAATATCTATTAATTAAAATGTATTAAGCAAATATACCGTTAGGCTTTTATAACAATGCTTTAAAATTTTTTTCTCCCAGCTCTATACTCTGGGCGACTACGTATGGAACTTGTTACGCGAGGATACCTCTGAAAAAGCCAAAAAAATCTGGAAAAAAATTCACTTAAAAAAAAATAATAGTTTATTGGAAGTAAAAAAAAAATTTTCATAATAATAATTTCATAAAATGTATCATAAAAAAAGAAAACCTATCACTTAGAAGGTGGCATACATATTTTTGTGCATAATTTATGCATCTTAACCGAAAACAATCAAAAAAGTAATTTAAACAAACATTTCGTTAAATTTTGTCGCACAGTGTGATCGGTCTGATTACTTTCCATGGAACATAGCCTTCTGCGGGTCATTCAGCCCCGCTCAAATCAACGCTGTAAGCTGAAAAGTCGATCTTCCTATATTATTAACGCCTTCTATTTTAACAAGGAAGGAAGCTAGCTTCGGCTTGCCGAATACCCTTATATACCCTTGCAGTCATCAAAAATGTCAAACAAAACACATAAAAGCTAAACAACATCGAAGCTATGACAATTTTTCTTTTAATTTTCCATATTTTTGACTATCGATCATATGGCAGCTATAGGATATAGTTGTCCGATTTTGATCAAATTTAATTCGTAATTCAAGAGTCGTTAGAGAACGTTATGTTCCAAAAATCAACGATGTTATAATTTTATTTCCGTTATTTCTATATAGATTTTTTGATCTTTCCGATGGCAGCTATAAGATATACATAGTGGTCCGATTTCTATGAAACTTTTTTCTCATTTTTAGGGTTGTTAAAAAACTTGATATTCAAAAAATCATGATTGTGGGATAAAAAACAACGATGTTATCAATTTATTTCCATTAATTCTATATATATTTTTCGATCTCTCCTATGGCAGCTATATGATAGAGTTATCCGATCTTGATAAAATTTAATCCGAAATTCAATAGTAGTTAGAAAACGCCATCTTGAAGAAATCAAGTCGATCTGATCAAAAACAACGGCGCGAGAATTTTTCATTTCATTCCCTCGTATGGGAGCTATCCGATATAGTCGGCCGATCCGGCCCGTTCCGACTTATATACTGCGTTCAATAGCTACACACCTTTTGGGAAAGTTTCAGCAGGATAGCTTTAAAACTGAGAGACTAGTTTGCGTAGAAACGGACAGGAGGACAGACGGACCGAAGGACAGACGGATTTCGATTCAGATCGTGATGCTGATCAATAATATATATACTTTATAGGGTCTGAGGTGTCTCCTTCACAGCGTTGCAAACTTCTGACTGAAATTATAATACCCTTTTGCTCTGCAAGGGTATAAAAATAGTCTGCAGGCAAGCGCCCACCTTGTCGTCGTCTGGCGCCTTGAAGCGGAACTTGGAGCAGAGCGCGGTTATAGGTCTAATGATGCAGGACACATAGTTGCAGATCAGGGTGCTCCGACTCTTCTTCTGGTGCGCGGCAGCGGTTCTTCGATTTGACCTCGTCCAGGTTGATAATCTTAAAGGACTGACAGGGCCTGCCATTCGGACGCAGGCTGCTGATTGAGAGCTACAAGAAGCATCGATCAACTTTTGAGGTCCTTGAACATGTTTCGATGATCTGTCGGCCTGCCACCAAGATCGTGTTGGTCTTACCCATGTTGCGCCGCTGATCACCATGTTGGACAGATTGTTATGTGCGGCCAAACAAAAAAAAATTAATAGACCAAATAAAATGTAAACAGTGTTTGTTTACCAACGGCCGACGATAATAAGTTATCGATAGACTCGTAGTCCGGACAGGGCTGTGACCTTTTAACACGGTTGCCAGATTTGGCTCTTTTGAGCCAAAACTGGCTCTTTTTTTTCTCGTTGGCTCTTTGGCCCATTTTGATTGAAATTGGCTCTTTTTTGCTAATAGCGATACAAAATATTTTAAATTAAAAGACGAACTCATTTTTTAATTAATGCATTTTTTTTGTTCAATTTTAAAAGTGATTAATGTCTGAAATCTAAAAGTGCCAGATCGAAACTAAATTGCTCCGCTGCAGCGCGCTGGTATGGTAGCTCTAAACAAGTGTACTGGTGTTTGGCGTTTATTGTTGTGACTCAAAGTGATAAATTGTGCAAAATGGACAAGTAAGTAAAGAAATAATGTAGATTTGTGTATCTCAAATGCAATATAGCTAATTTATTCACATTTTAACTTCAAAAAGTTTAAATAAAACCGCGTTCCAGCCGTAAGCACATACTGAGACATTGCAGAAAAATGTTTTGTGATGTTTTTTATTACTTTCTTATGATAAAAGTTAAAAAAAAACAAATAATAAATAAAAATTTGGCTCTTTTTTATTCGAATTGGCTCATTTTTAGTCTTTTTTTGGCTCATTAAATTTTTTTGAAGTGGCAACCGTGCCTTTTAAGCCTCTGGAACTGGTTCCCCAGGAATGACTAACTCCAAAAAGGTGAATTTGAAAATTTTTGAGTATTTTTTTTGGCAAAGAGAAAATAGAAAAGAAAAAGTGCATGAGGTCCAAGAGGTTAGATCGAAGTTATCAAGAAGGCCAAAAATTTTCAAAAATTATAGAAAAAATTTCATGAAAAGTGAGTTAAAAAAATATAAATAAAAGATAAAGTGTTCAAAGTAAAGAGGAATAAATCGTTGTTTAGATTCAATCCCGGAGAGGATCTTGGAGCTAATTTTCTTGGACAAGTGGAAAGAGGAGACACCCCCAAAAGAAGAGGGCAAATTTTTTTGTAAAGAAAAAACTGGCCACTCACTGCTGGGTGGCCCCCAGGTTTTTGGAGCTTAGCTATTTAGTTATTAAAACTAATTAGAATTAAGTAAACAAAAGCAGAAACCCAAATGTAAAGTCCATACAAACGAATTAATCAAATACTCCAAATATTTATTCCAAAAAGAATTAAAATAATCACATATTTATTTATTTATTTATCTGGATATTAACATGTGATACAGCCAGCTTTATTTATTATTTATTATGCACTATTTATTTATTTAATATTTATTATTTATTTTGTTACGAACTGCTTTTTGGGTGGGCAGTGCCGCTAGCTCAGTGATCTCATTTGGGCCAAGTTCACCCCAATTGCCCGCAGTCCGACAACATAAAATACTAACATCGATTACGGTCGTCTCACAACACTAAACTCTCTGCGATCACTAACAAAATGTAAACAAACAAAGAGAGGTAAACATTCAAATACAAGGCGGCGGAAATTTGGATCTTTGGGTGGCCATCGGTGTTATTGGCCACTGCGTACCCACCCAACCTAGGATGCCCGGTAAGTATTGTCACTGCATCCCCCATAATGGGTCAAAAAGTCACTCCAGGCGACTAATTCAACTCCATATCCCCCACATCATCTTTATAAACTGGTTTTAATCATTCATGTGAGTACAGATATTTAACATTTCGCATCTAATTCATTTCCTCAAAATCTATTTGTTCATCTAACCTCAGAATCAATCAACCGCCGTATCAGTATATTTAGCGGTCAAAGCTAAATTTAAGAACAAGGAATGGACACTCTCCGACAAAAATGTTCTGCCACCCTTGTATCGGCAGAACTCTCTGGGTTACGCGGCTTAAATTAAGGTCACCTAATCCTGAGGAGCTCCAAGGGAAAAGGAGGGACGCCGAAAGGTATGGGAGATTTACACACTCGATTCCTTCATCCTAATTAATTGCGACCCTTTTATTTTAGCAACCGTCGATCAAGGGTGAATCTTTGGAAGGACGCACAATAGACTTAACAATATAAGGTATTTAAATTCTTAAAAACTACACATTATATTCATTGATTTTCCTCAATTTCAGGAAGTGGTGGGTTTGGGCTCGGCCCACCAGGAAATCGCACCACCAGGAACTCGGAGGCTTATGGAATTTGGCTGGCCAACCTCGTGGTACCAACCGCTCGCGAGGAAAACTGGCCACTATCGGAGGCACCACGACACGGAACGGACTCACCGGAGATCTGGAGTCCGAGAATGTTGACTGGGTCGCTGATGATTCCCTCACTCTTGCGTAAGCCGACTTCGTTTCCTCCAGAAAAATTATTTGTACGAAAACGGCGTATCTTCCAAATTGATTATCTCCAATCAGGGAAAATGTGGATCTCCTCCAAAATAAATTATACTGAGGCTACTCCAAAATGAACGTGGTACTCGCAATAATATGTAGCTTCTCCAAAAATATATTATGTAATCCAAAAAAGGTATCGTATATTTGCTCCGCAAGAAAAGTTATACAGTCGAATCCCGATAATTCGTACCCCGCTAAATCGAAAATCGCGATAATTCGTAAAAAATTCTGTCCCCTTGAAAAAAACTCGTTAATTCGTAAAAATTCCATACAATTTGGTCCCCTCGTTAATTCGTAGTATTTTGCGCAAAGCAAAGAATATTGAACCTCTTATAAATCGTATATTTGTTTCGTAACCTCTTATAAATCGTAATGCGATGCGAAATTTTTTCAGCTAAAGCACCGTTAGATTTTGCAGACAGCTATTCCGCCTTTATGTCGCTATGCATTATGAATTTTGTGTTTCTCTCGCTGTTTTCGTTTAGTTTGCTGATTTTTTTCGGAGAGTAACAGCCTTCTGTGAAAATGTCACAAAAACGTACGCATAAGACGTTATCAAACGCGCAAAAACAAAACATTATTTCAGCGATTGACAATGGAACAAAAAAAATTGAGGTGGCAAAACAATTCGATGTCGCTCCATCAACAATAACATCAATTCTACAGAAAAAAAGAGTTTATAATGCAAGCATCCCCTAGTAGTAAACTGAAACGACAGAAACATGCTGAATACCCGAATATAGAAAAGTCTCTACTTTTGTGGCTTACACAATGCCGTCAATGTTCCCATTGCAATTATTATAATATTATGTTATTGTTTAATTTTTCTTTAATATGAAAACGTACAAATGAATGTTAAATTATGTTTGTTTAATTTTAATAAAGCTAAATACATATGTAAACATGATGAGAATTGTAAAAACCCCGTTTATTCGAATTTTTCATTTTTGAGCCCCGTTAAATAGAAATCTCGATAAGTCGAATTCCCGTCTAATTCGTAAAAAAGTGACCCCCTTGCCATTTCGAATTATCGGGACTCGACTGTATTTTCTTTGGCGAAAAATAACCGTCGAAAAAAAAGTGACTTCTTCAGAAATGTATTCCTTGCCAAAAAAGTGGTGCCTCCTCCAAAAATATGGTGTTCTTTGAACAATGTGGCTTCTCCAGAAATATTTATTGGGTTTCTTCAAAAAAAAGAATCCCGGGGCCCTTTATTATGGGACCCCGGGTTCCCTAAACAAAAATAAACATTTTATTTTTACAAAAGAAAACTACAAAAAAAAACTAACTCACTTTTCACAAAAGTTTCACAATGCCATTACGAGTACAAATCCCCGTCCACCACGCTTGTCTTTTCCGATACCACTAAACTCTGATCCGTAATATCACGCCATGTGCCCTACCATCTCTCCCAGGCTCTCTCGAAGATGGGTCAACGGACATCCCCAAGGCCATCTAAGAGAAATCCTAAGCCCAGGTTACATGTTTACATTTTACATGATCTGCCCAAGGCCCAAAAGGTGGCGCTGCCCTAACCATCGCTATTTGATCTAATCTATCGATAGCTCCTCCTGGAATCGACTCCAACTGCAACATCAACCAAGGATTTCGAGAGGTGCTACAACGAGGTTTTGCGAAACGACGAAATACTTGGTAGCTTTGGAGGAGACCAGGAATACAGGCAGTTCGTACGGCGCCCAACGCGGGGCCCACGCTTGCCGGGAAGTTTTGCGATCGATTTTCGTGCTCTCGTTTAATTTGTGTACCCATTTCAGCTCACAACTGGATGTCTGTGCCGTGGTACCCCGCCAGACTGCGACTCTGGACTGACGAACGTGGCACCACTCCTTGGCTCGACCGGTGAGGAAAAGATGGAAGTGTCTCGCTACTTCTGCCGTGGACGCTGGTGATCCTCGCTTGGAAAGTCGCCAGCCCGGTGGTCCTCGATGCGCCAGGTTTGGCCATTTCCATCCGGACCCCTGTACCGCTCGGCCTCCGGAGGATAACTTGGCCTGGTGCTGGCCCAATCCGCCGATATGTCCACTCTACGCTTTGGCTTCGGCGGGACCAATGGAGGTGGTGGATACGGTCTGCTTCCCTTTGGAACGGCGTCTTGCCTTTGATGCACCGAAGAATGAGCTTCCGCTGCTGGTGGCTGTTGTTGCCGATCGGTTTGTTCTCCGGCTGCGGGAGAAAGCCATGGATCTGCTGGCCTGAGAGCGTCGTTCAGGCGCTTCATCAACTCCAGGAATCCTTCACGGATTTCATCCCGTATCGACTGACTCACTCCCGCCTCCTGTGCCTTTCGGTACGTCTCAGCCGCCTGCGCGATCGCCACATTCACTGCCGACTTCTCCTCCGAAGCGATCAGTGATTTTGCCGAGTTCCCGTCGCCTAGCTCGAGCAGTTGCTCACGCTCTACTCGAGCAGCACCCTCTACGTCCGTTGGCCGAGGAGCATCTTCGTCTCCTCCAGGAGGACCCATCGACCTCAACTGGTGGTCGTGCCTGTTCCCAAAATCCCTATCTTTCGGCATTCTTCACTACAACAAATATTTCTTATCCTAATACCACAAAAATATATAAATAACAAGAAATATCGCCACTACAAAAATTAATATTACGTATGAATAAATAAATAATGAGAATAAATAATGAAATAAATAATGAAACAAATAATGGAATAAATAAATAAATCAATGGCAAAATAAATAATGCAATAAATAACAGAATAATAAATAACAGAATAAATAAATAAATTATGAAACAGCCAAAAAATATAACGCCTGAAATAAATATTAATAAATAACTAGAAATCACCACTAACTATAAAACTCTTCGAGCCACCAGATAACTAATCTCTTTCAATCTTTCAGCTCCTACTGTGGGGAGATGAAATCAACGTCGCCGGTGGACTTCCGACCATAGTACGCCTACGCATCGCCAAAAATCTTCCTAATTTCCGCCCCTCTCGCAGCCGCTCGTCAACTGGTCTAGCTATCACTTTAAGTGATAGCTGCCAGTTAAGGACTCCAGCCGCTCCTGGACTGCTGTTGGTTTTCTTCCTCATCTGCAGTTTCCATCGCAAATCGAGGGACTCGTGCATCGCGTGTACTTTCAACGGGCCACGAGTACCAATTAAGTTGTTAAAACCGACAGGAAATTGGAAACCCACAGACGGAAGAAAAACCCAGGAATCCACCTCAAATTACTCTCAGACAACAAAAAATATATACAAATAAATAAATTAATGGCGCCCAATTTAAAAAAAAAAAATAGATACATGGTCGAGGCGACGACGTCTCGCGAGGAGCTGACTTAGTTGGTCAGTCCTTCGGAACGGTGGCTTGCAGACGTATGCAATTGCATCGGGATGGGGGACTGGCGAACTAAGGAGAAGCTGAGGAAGTGGGAGGCTTTTCCAGAGTGCTGGTCAAATGCTCCCTGGTCGCACAATTGAATTTTGAAAATGGTTGAGGCGACGAGCTGGCCTAGTTTCCGGTCACTCTGAACGGTGGCTTGTAGACGTATGCAACTGCATCGGGAAGGGTGACTCGGGAACTAGAGATCAGCTAAGGAGGGTGGGAGGCTTGTCCAGTAACATGCTGGCCAATAAATAGTCTCAATTGCTTTGTAGTGTTTTTTTTTTTTGTCATATTAATTTATTTATTTGTATATTTTTTTTTGTTGTCTGAGAGTAATTTGAGGTGGATTCCTGGGTTTTTCTTCCGTCTGTGGGTTTCCAATTTCCTGTCGGTTTTAACAACTTAATTGGTACTCGTGGCCCGTTGAAAGTACACGCGATGCACGAGTCCCTCGATTTGCGATGGAAACTGCAGATGAGGAAGAAAACCAACAGCAGTCCAGGAGCGGCTGGAGTCCTTAACTGGCAGCTATCACTTAAAGTGATAGCTAGACCAGTTGACGAGCGGCTGCGAGAGGGGCGGAAATTAGGAAGATTTTTGGCGATGCGTAGGCGTACTATGGTCGGAAGTCCACCGGCGACGTTGATTTCATCTCCCCACAGTAGGAGCTGAAAGATTGAAAGAGATTAGTTATCTGGTGGCTCGAAGAGTTTTATAGTTAGTGGTGATTTCTAGTTATTTATTAATATTTATTTCAGGCGTTATTTTTTTTGGCTGTTTCATAATTTATTTATTTATTCTGTTATTTATTATTCTGTTATTTATTGCATTATTTATTTTGCCATTGATTTATTTATTTATTCCATTATTTATTCCATTATTTGTTTCATTATTTATTTCATTATTTATTCTCATTATTTATTTATTCATACGTAATATTAATTTTTGTAGTGGCGATATTTCTTGTTATTTATATATTTTTGTGGTATTAGGATAAGAAATATTTGTTGTAGTGAAGAATGCCGAAAGATAGGGATTTTGGGAACAGGCACGACCACCAGTTGAGGTCGATGGGTCCTCCTGGAGGAGACGAAGATGCTCCTCGGCCAACGGACGTAGAGGGTGCTGCTCGAGTAGAGCGTGAGCAACTGCTCGAGCTAGGCGACGGGAACTCGGCAAAATCACTGATCGCTTCGGAGGAGAAGTCGGCAGTGAATGTGGCGATCGCGCAGGCGGCTGAGACGTACCGAAAGGCACAGGAGGCGGGAGTGAGTCAGTCGATACGGGATGAAATCCGTGAAGGATTCCTGGAGTTGATGAAGCTCCTGAACGACGCTCTCAGGCCAGCAGATCCATGGCTTTCTCCCGCAGCCGGAGAACAAACCGATCGGCAACAACAGCCACCAGCAGCGGAAGCTCATTCTTCGGTGCATCAAAGGCAAGACGCCGTTCCAAAGGGAAGCAGACCGTATCCACCACCTCCATTGGTCCCGCCAGCACCAGGCCAAGTTATCCTCCGGAGGCCGAGCGGTACAGGGGTCCGGATGGAAATGGCCAAACCTGGCGCATCGAGGACCACCGGGCTGGCGACTTTCCAAGCGAGGATCACCAGCGTCCACGGCAGAAGTAGCGAGACACTTCCATCTTTTCCTCACCGGTCGAACCAAGGAGTGGTGCCACGTTCGTCAGTCCAGAGTCGCAGTCTGGCGGTGTACCACGGCACAGACATCCAGTTGTGAGCTGAAATGGGTACACAAATTAAACGAGAGCACGAAAATCGATCGCAAAACTTCCCGGCAAGCGTGGGCCCCGCGTTGGGCGCCGTACGAACTGCCTGTATTCCTGGTCTCCTCCAAAGCTACCAAGTATTTCGTCGTTTCGCAAAACCTCGTTGTAGCACCTCTCGAAATCCTTGGTTGATGTTGCAGTTGGAGTCGATTCCAGGAGGAGCTATCGATAGATTAGATCAAATAGCGATGGTTAGGGCAGCGCCACCTTTTGGGCCTTGGGCAGATCATGTAAAATGTAAACATGTAACCTGGGCATAGGATTTCTCTTAGATGGCCTTGGGGATGTCCGTTGACCCATCTTCGAGAGAGCCTGGGAGAGATGGTAGGGCACATGGCGTGATATTACGGATCAGAGTTTAGTGGTATCGGAAAAGACAAGCGTGGTGGACGGGGATTTGTACTCGTAATGGCATTGTGAAACTTTTGTGAAAAGTGAGTTAGTTTTTTTTTGTAGTTTTCTTTTGTAAAAATAAAATGTTTATTTTTGTTTAGGGAACCCGGGGTCCCATAATAAAGGGCCCCGGGATTCTTTTTTTTGAAGAAACCCAATAAATATTTCTGGAGAAGCCACATTGTTCAAAGAACACCATATTTTTGGAGGAGGCACCACTTTTTTGGCAAGGAATACATTTCTGAAGAAGTCACTTTTTTTTCGACGGTTATTTTTCGCCAAAGAAAATATAACTTTTCTTGCGGAGCAAATATACGATACCTTTTTTGGATTACATAATATATTTTTGGAGAAGCTACATATTATTGCGAGTACCACGTTCATTTTGGAGTAGCCTCAGTATAATTTATTTTGGAGGAGATCCACATTTTCCCTGATTGGAGATAATCAATTTGGAAGATACGCCGTTTTCGTACAAATAATTTTTCTGGAGGAAACGAAGTCGGCTTACGCAAGAGTGAGGGAATCATCAGCGACCCAGTCAACATTCTCGGACTCCAGATCTCCGGTGAGTCCGTTCCGTGTCGTGGTGCCTCCGATAGTGGCCAGTTTTCCTCGCGAGCGGTTGGTACCACGAGGTTGGCCAGCCAAATTCCATAAGCCTCCGAGTTCCTGGTGGTGCGATTTCCTGGTGGGCCGAGCCCAAACCCACCACTTCCTGAAATTGAGGAAAATCAATGAATATAATGTGTAGTTTTTAAGAATTTAAATACCTTATATTGTTAAGTCTATTGTGCGTCCTTCCAAAGATTCACCCTTGATCGACGGTTGCTAAAATAAAAGGGTCGCAATTAATTAGGATGAAGGAATCGAGTGTGTAAATCTCCCATACCTTTCGGCGTCCCTTCTTTTCCCTTGGAGCTCCTCAGGATTAGGTGACCTTAATTTAAGCCGCGTAACCCAGAGAGTTCTGCCGATACAAGGGTGGCAGAACATTTTTGTCGGAGAGTGTCCATTCCTTGTTCTTAAATTTAGCTTTGACCGCTAAATATACTGATACGGCGGTTGATTGGCGATTCTGAGGTTAGATGAACAAACAGATTTTGAGGAAATGAATTGGATGCGAAATGTTAAATATCTGTACTCACATGAATGATTAAAACCAGTTTATAAAGATGATGAGTTGCTAGACCTTTTTCTGTGGGGGAGATGGAGTTGAATTAGTCGCCTGGAGTGACTTTTTGACCCATTATGGGGGATGCAGTGACAATACTTACCGGGCATCCTAGGTTGGGTGGGTACGCAGTGGCCAATAACACCGATGGCCACCCAAAGATCCAAATTTCCGCCGCCTTGTATTTGAATGTTTACCTCTCTTTGTTTGTTTACATTTTGTTAGTGATCGCAGAGAGTTTAGTGTTGTGAGACGACCGTAATCGATGTTAGTATTTTATGTTGTCGGACTGCGGGCAATTGGGGAGAACTTGGCCCAAATGAGATCGCTGAGCTAGCGGCACTGCCCACCCAAAAAGCAGTTCGTAACAATTTATTATTTATTTCTAATTTCTTATTTGATGTTCCTTGTGATTCGTCCCGCGGTACCGTGGTTAGGTGTCATATATGTTAATATATAAGTACAAGATTGAATTTATAATGAATTAAAAAGGAAAATGAACGTAAGTGAATAGATTCCTCAAGTGGGGGGGAGTGAGATGAGATAAAAATGTTTCCACGAAAACGATATTTGGGAGATGTGTCCGAAACTGAAACGAGGATGCACTCATGGTTGGGAGGGACTCCGAGGGCTGCCAATTTGGCGAGGTAGTCCAGTCTGAATATTCGTAAAAATCCGTTGTGTTAGAAATTGTTGTTGTTAAAGTTTGATATTCCGTTTTGTTTTTTTTTTTTCGGGTCTGCTGCGCGAATTTTGTGGTGGTTCCCCCCCCTGGGATCACGCTAGCTAGCCGGCAACACAACCGCGCGAAACGGCAGGACATGACAAGATGAAACTACTAAACGTGTCAGTTATCAGGGCTATTATCGGTCTTATTTAGCATGTGCATCTGTTCGCCGGCGCCAGTAAATCACTTTTTTTCCACCGAAGGAGCGGTCTAATTTTTTGTTTTAAAAATGGCTTCATCTAGAAAGTCTATTCCAAATAATAAATTACAGCGCAAAACAAAGGGCAAATCTATCGATGTTTTACCGATGTTTCGATGTTTAATAAAGAATACCAGCGGTGTCATTTCCGCTTTTTTCCCGTCAGATTTGGATTTTTTTGAAGTGTGATTGCGGGAAAAATATAAAAACAGTGGGCAGCGGGAATTCTGGCATTTTTGAAAATTAAAAAGTAATGAGTATTTTGGTACTCCCAACATCGATAAGACGACATATTCCTAGTAGAGGATGATACAATAAAGTTCTGGGTTGAAGTTCAGAAATACCGGGATTCTGACGGAAACTTCCGTTTTAATGAATTGGCTTCAGTTGCTCTGCAAATGCAGTCTCTGCCTTGGTCAAACGCCGACGTCGAGCGGGTATTCAGCAGTGTTGCCAACTTGGCTATTTTCTGGCCAGATTTGGCTATTTTGCATGACCTAAAACTAGAACCCACTCAATTTTGCAGGAGCCTGTTATGTTGGCTATTTCATAAAAAAATGTGCTATTTTTTAACTATTTTAAATAATTTGTAATATTTGATATTATTTATTTGTTTATAGTCGACTAAAAAACCGTCGAACTTCAAATTAAATTTTCGGAAATCGTATATTGGCAATAGAGACATTGTTTGTTCAATAGCTATTGATACATAGACACCATGTTTACCGCCCAGCGTGACCGAATTGTGCATTTGAAATACTAAAATATTACTTACCCTTTTGTAGCTTTCGGGTACTTCGTATTTTCTCAACATCGTTTCGCGCTCGCAATGCTAGCATCTCTACATTAAAATTCACCGATTATTGTGTTTGTGCGGTTGTTTCTTAAAATGTATAAGGGTGATTCCATATCAGATTTACAGTCGATATTGGGAAATTCGATGAGATATTTTTTTTCATGCTCTTTCTCGAAAATAAATCGACACGTATTTTTTTATATGGCTCAGAAAATTTTTTTGACAAAGTTATGATTTTTTGAATTTTTGATGAACTGCCCTTTTTTTGATGACAGTCGCGTTTTCCAACCCCAATAACTCGATAACCGTACGTCGCAGAAAAAAATGTATAGGAAGTAAAAATTTCATCCTTCCTTCTTCTTTGCAAAACTTTCGTGAAATAATTTTTTTAAACAATTTTTCACCACAAAAAGTTCAAATGTTTTTAACAAATTAATTTTTCTCCAACTTGGACCATTTTGATTTTGTTTTTTCACAGTAAATCCTTCAAATTCTTCTGATGAACATACTAAAATTTCAGAATGGTATCAAAATTAGTTTTTGAGTTATTTTAAATTTTAAGCAATTTGTTTAAGAAGAATCATTAAATAATCAACACCGAATGTACAAAAATATAAGATTTTATTATTGAAAACTAACGGCTATTTTAATTTACTATTTTAGAAGAAATTTAGCTATTTTTAGCTATTTTTTTTGCTTCCACTGCTATAAATGACCACTCAGAGTTCGCAACACTGGTCGCTCAGCTATTGATAAGCAGTGTTGCCAACTCTCAAATATATTTATGCCTAAAGGTAGGTAAAAAAAACCCCTAAAATCGGCATAATTATAGAGTTGTCAACCTAAAAACAGTCTGGCAACCCAGCCAGTGTAGCACATTGCTGCACACTGGCCTCTTGTTGTGTTTTTGTTTTTGTGCATTTTTGTTTTGCTGCACTTATAACTACAATTTTAATATAATAGCACGAATATCTGGCAGGACATAAATACAGCGGATTTTGCAGGTGGGACGGAAAAATATGATTAGCCGCCCAGCACGTAACATCGATTGTTTTCTAAGAGCACGATTTTGATTTACCATCGCCGTTGTTATTGTTGCGTCTTCTTGTACAAGACTACAAAAAACACAGAAAACAAAACGTTGCCAAAACGTTGTTGTTATGTAAATGCGCGGAAGCAGAACGTTGGACACAGAGGCACCCCCAATATCCGCAAACCACAATTCGCATCCAAAGTTCGCGGGCTCCCGATTGAGACACAAAGCAAGAGGTCGAAGCACACCAAGCATCACGCGATTGCTATTGTGTGAAGACGTCACCTGCCCAGTGTTTGTTTAGCACTTTTTACCTTTCGTATTGTGGAGTTACTGAGTTCCATTGCTTACAGATAGCCTTACTTGAAAATGGAGGCCAAGGCCGACAAATCATCGCCTGCAGTGGCTTCCGGTGGAAAAACTTCAGTGCCCTCCAGCGGACGCCATCAGTTGCGACCCGTAAAGTTTGACTATGCCGATTCCTTTGCCTGCACTTACATTGTCTCTGTCGTGGCTGCTTCCATCGCCGAGCTGGCTACTTATCCACTGGACCTAACAAAGACGCGTCTGCAAATCCAGGGCGAAGGATCCGCGATGTCCGCAGGAAAGTCCAATGTGAGTGGGACGCAATTCCCTCTTTTTGCTTGTTGTTCTTGTCGCCTCCAGCTTTCTGCTGCTCCTGAACCCCTTTCTAATTTCCAACATGGCTTATAAAATTAAACCAAACATGGAACTGCCCCTTTGATTCATCGACCTTAATCGTACCGCTTTTCCAAGAAATATTGCTAATCGAAGTGGGCACGGCCATACTGATAAGACCTGGATTGATATTAGTATTAGTCACAGCTTTTGCCTTTTTTCGTGTGGATTGATTTACCAACAATTGTTTCTCACACAGTTGTTTGTGGGTCTGCCGACAATTGGACCTCAGATATGTTATATGCCTTTATTACTAGTGAATATAAAAACTATTATACGAAATCTACCTAGGATATTATTGTAATCTTTATAAAGAAACACGGTTTGTTAGCAACTCAAAATGTAAAGAGAGCTCAAGAAAAGAATACAAATAATAACAAGATAGGAAGCTAGCGTTGGCGAGCCCTTGCAGTTAGAACTTCGATGTATGTATTTAGATGTTTTTCCTTTTGCCAGTTCTATCCCTACAACGTTAGTGTACTGTATAATACAAAGTATGTCCAATTTTTCATAAATTTGCTTTTTGTCTTAGGCGGCTATATGACCCTTATATAATCCAATGTCGGCTACTTTATATAGCAGTTCGATTTTCATAAAACTTAATTCGTAATTCAAGGCTCGGGAAAAAACACCATATACAAAAAAAAAACAAGAAAGGAAGCTAGATTCGGTAACCCGAAGCTTATATACCCTTGCAGTCATCAAATATGTCGATCAAAATGCATAAGGGCTAAACATTGAAACTATGACGATTTTTCTTTTAATTTTCCATATTTTCGACTATTGTTCGTACGGCAGCTATATGATATAGTTGTCCGATTTTGATGAAATTTAATATACAATTCAAGAGCAGTTAGAAAACTCTATATTCCAAAAACTATCTTATCTGTTGAAAAACAACGATGATGTAATCTTATCTCCCGATTTCTATATAGATTTTTCGGTCTTTCCTAAGGCCGCTATATTATAACGTTGTCGGATTTTTATGAAATTTTTTTCTCAATTCAAGGGTTATTAAAAAACTTCATGTGTTGAAATTCATGCTAGTGGGACTAAAAACAACGACGTTATAATTTTTTTTTATTATTTATACATATATTTTTTGATCTTTTGTTTGGCAGCTTTATGGTGGAGTTATCCGATTTTGAAAAAATTTTATCCGAAATTCAATAGTGGTTAGAAAATGCCATCTAGAAGAAATCAAGTCGATCTGATCAAAAACAACGGCGTTAGAATTTTTCATTTCAATCTCTTGTATGGCCCGTACGGCCCGTTCCAACTTATATACTGCGCGCAATAACTACATACCTTTTGGGAAAGTTTCAGCAAGATAGCTTTAAAACTGAGAGACTAGTTTGGGCAGAACGGACAGGAGGACAGACGGACAGACGTATTTCAATTCAGATCGTGATGCTGATGAAGAATATATATACTTTATTGGGTCTGAGATGTCTCCTTCACTGCGTTGCAAACTTCTGACTTAATTTATAATACCCTTTGCTCTGCAAGGGTATAAAAACAAAAAAGTAAGCTACTACCCTTGCAGTCATTAAATATGCCGAACAAAATACATAAAGGCTATGTCGATTTTTTTTATACCCTTGCAGAGCAAAGGGTATTATAATTTCAGTCAGAAGTTTGCAACGCAGTGAAGGAGACATCTCAGACCCCATAAAGTATATATATTCTTCATCAGCATCACGATCTAAATCGAAATACGTCTGTCCGTCTATCCTGTCTGAAAAAAATTGATTTTTGAAAATTTCACACTAGTTGTGCCCCTTAAGACTTTTGAATTACGAATTAAATTTCATCAAAATCGGACGACTATATCATGTAGCTGCCATATGAACAATATGGCAAAATATGAAAAATTAATAGAAAAATCGTCACAGCTTCATTGCTGTTTAGCCTTTATGTATTTTGTTCGATATATTTGATGACTGCAGGGTATATAAGCTTTTCCGAAGCTTGCTTCCTTTCTGTTTTTATTAATTTTGTGTATATTTGACGATTGTTCATATGACAGCTCTATAAAATGGTCGTCAGATTTTAATGAAATTTAATTCATCATTCGAGAGTCATTAGAAAACTCTATATTCCAAAAATCGTGCTTGTCTGATAAAAAACAACTATGTTATAATTTTTTCCATTAATTTAATATAGGTATGTAGTTCTTTCGATCTTTCTTATGGCAGCTATTTGTTGTTGTCCGATTTTTATGAAATATTTTTCTTTATTTAAGGGTCGATGCTCTAAAAATCATATTAATATGATCAAAACAACGACATTATAATTTGTTTTTCATTGCTTATGGATTTTTGTTTTTATTTAATTCAAAAATTAATTAAAGTTAGAAAACAACATCTGGAAGATATCAAGTCGATATGATCAGCGATAGCTCTCCTACGGGAGCTTTCCGATTCAGTCGCCCGATACGGCCGTTTCGACTTATGTATATGCTGCGTTCAATAACTACACAACTTTTGAAAAATTTTTGCAAGATAATTTTGAGAGACTAGTTTACATAGATCAGATCGTGATGTTGTTCAAGAATATACTTTATGGGGTCTAAGGTGTCTTCATCACTGCGTTGCAACCTCTGACTGAAATTTAATTACCCTCTGCAAGGGTATAAAAATGTAAATTAAATTTGGTATTTTCATATTGAGGACTGTATAGTATTCATGGAAATTTTTTCACAAATAATAGCTTTTCAAAAAATGCAAAAATACAGATAAAAGTGTTTAAAGATATGTAAGTTTTTCATTCAAAAGAAAAATATTGATGCAAAAGCTACTTACCCAAATTTGAAGCAACACGGTTATTGTTGTATATTCTGTAATGGACTACTTAAAAAAAGTGTAAGTGTTTCAATTTAAAGTGTAGCTACAAAAAATGACTTTATATTTTAATCTTTGTATTTTGATTTAAGAATACAGTTAGAAAGATATTATAAAGAATTAATATTAGCTGCTTGACATGATTTAGGTATTAGAACTTGCATATATTAGGCGGAATTGCAAGTTTTACGTATAAGTCCTGAGGATAAAAGAATAAAGTAAGAAAGATATTTCAACGTATTATTTTTAGATGTTTGACGTAACATAGATTTTAGAACTAGTGGATATTATGTTGGGCAGATTTGCAAGGTTTACGTAGCACTCCTGAGATTGAGCATCCCACTGTCCACCCTATCCCGTTGTGTGTGCCCGCTCCATGTCAATCTTGTGTTTTACCGGACTGCATCAGATGCAGTAAGCAGATAATAGATACTACAATGACGCACTCAATTACCGATTACCCACGATTACCATTACCAGATGCAATACCGCGGCATGGTGGCCACCGCCTTCGGGATTGCGCGCGAGGAGGGCGCCCTGAAGCTGTGGCAGGGCGTGACGCCGGCGCTCTATCGACACGTCGTCTATAGGTGGGCATTCCCAAACTTTCATTCTAGCATCTAACCCACCAAAACAGCAACAGCCACTAGCCGCTCTGCCAGCAGCTGATTGCACCAGCTCCCGTTCACCGCAGTCACTAAGCCAGTTCTAACCCGAGATCTCCCTGTCCCTGTTCATCCGCAGCGGAGTGAGGATCTGCAGTTACGATCTGATGCGCAAGGAGTTTACTCAGAGCGGCAGCCATGCGCTGCCCGTGTGGAAGTCGGCGCTATGCGGCGTCAGCGCCGGCGCTGTGGCCCAGTGGCTGGCTTCGCCCGCTGACCTGGTCAAGGTGCAGATTCAGATGGAGGGCCGCCGGAGGCTAATGGGCGAACCGCCGCGTGTCCACTCAGTCGGACACGCTTTTCGTGAGATCGTGCTCCGCGGGGGAGTCCGCGGCCTCTGGAAGGGTAGCATGCCGAACGTGCAACGGGCGGCGCTGGTCAACCTGGGCGACCTGACCACGTACGACACCATCAAGCACCTGATCATGGACCGCTTACAAATGCCAGACTGCCACACTGTGCACGTGTTGGCCTCCATCTGCGCCGGTTTCGTGGCAGCGGTCATGGGCACGCCGGCGGACGTGGTGAAGACGCGTATCATGAACCAGCCCACTGACGAAAAGGGACGGTGAGTGGACCCGCCTGCCCCTCAGAGAGCATAACCACCCTTCATTCTTTTCTCTCCCAAAGGGGCTTGCTATACCGCGGATCCCTGGACTGCCTACAGCAGACTGTGGCCAAAGAAGGCTTTGTCGCACTATACAAAGGCTTCCTGCCCTGCTGGATACGGATGGCCCCTTGGTCGCTCACCTTTTGGCTGTCCTTTGAACAGATCCGTAAGATGATCGGTGCTTCTGGCTACTGATCTGTGATTAGGTGTAGTTTTTTAAAGTAGCTCGCTCGCTACAACGGTTTAAGTTTGGCATGATCCTCGTTATCCCTTCCTGTGCCTGAGTAACTTACAGCCAGGCCGTGCTGTTGCTTTGAATAATATATTCTGTCCAATTTTAGTATGTTACGCCAGGGAGTTTTCTTTCTCAGATCTTTCGGGTTTGTTTATCCTGTAATTTGTTATTGTTGTTGCCTTAAGAAAATCAAAAATCCGTACAAAAAAGCCAAAAAAAAAAAGAAGTTATTATTCAAAAAAGTGGTTATCTTCCTAAAAGAGCACTCAGTGGAAAAGAAAGGGACAGAAATGCTTGTGCTCTTTAAAATGTGAGCACTTTGGTAAAAAAGAAGAAAGAAGGCTAGATTCGACAAGCCGAAGCTTATGTACCCACACAAATGTCTAACCAAATTGTATATAGATTCTTCCGATCTTTCCAGCTTTTTGATTCAGTAGCCATTTTTTTCCAATTCTCTTTCTTAATTCAATAGTAGTAAAAAAAACTAAATATTCCATAATATGGAATCCATATGTATGATAAAAAATAACTACATTATCTTCTTTTTTCCGTTAATTCTATCTAGATTTTTCGATCTTTTCTATGACGTCTATATGATATAGTCATCCGATTTAAATGAAATTGAAATCAAAATTCAAGAGTCATAAAAAACACCATGTGCGAAAATGGAAGTCTGTATAATAAAAAACAGTGTCGTTGTAATTTCTCCCCTGCGGGAGCTATCCGATATAATCGTCCGATCCGGCGTATACTCCGTTAAATAATTACAAAATGTTTGGTACATGTAGTTCTCACATCAAGATAGTTTTAAAATTGAAAGACTAATTCATCGAGATAGCTTTAAAATGGAGAGACTAATTTACATAAAAACTTAGAAACAGACAGACGGAAAGACGGACAGATGTATATGCCCAGATATATTGAGATGGTGATGCTGGTCATGAATATATATATAAGATATATATCTTATGGGGTCGGAGATGTCTCCTTTACTGCGTTGCAATCTTCTGACTGATATTATAATACCCTCTACAAGGTATACAAATAAAAGAGATTTAAGTACTTTATCAATAGATTTATTTTTGGTATATGTTTATTCCTAGACAGCTTCAGTGCAATTGGGTAAAATCATATATTAAAACTCGTAATATTACCTAGGAGAAACACACACAGGCACACATACATATGTACATAAATACATAGCTATGCATAACATGTAGATATAAATACACACATATATCCAATATTGCATTTAGGTTTCGATGAAAGACTGAAAAATGGAAAAGTTGGGTGCCCAAAGCAAAACACACACAGAACAGGAAACTAAGAAGCAGGTTGGATAACAACGGCATATTGGTAGCTTCATCAGCAGCTCGGTCATCTGACATTGACATCGGCATCGTCTGTCTGTTCTGCACTCTTTAAGGAGAGCAGGGAATAAATTGCGAAATTGCTGTAGTGCGGATGCCGCCGCCCTCCGATAAGTCTGTCGGTTTGGATTTCGTCTTCTCTTCTGTGTGGATAAATGTGCAGGACTTAATCCAAAGTGTGTGCTTGACTAGACGCCGTGGAAAGCCAGTGCCGGGCGCAAGAACTATTCCAGTCCTAGCATCCAGTTAATGCCTTGTACTATGAAAAAAATTAGTGGCTGCCATGCAACCAGCCAGCGGATCCAGTCCAGTAAGCGTCCGTAAAGCACATGCGGCTTCTCCCAGCTACCGGGATACAAGATTAGGCAATAGGATAAAAGGGCAATTTATCTTTCTTACGGATTTCGGAACATCTTTTGTAAGTCGACTTTCTCCTTGCAGTAGGGACACGTCTGCTTCTTGCCCACAATGCACCACCCACGTATGCAGAACTCGTGGAACACATGATTACAGGACAGCTTGTACGTGTTCTCGATGACGCCCTCTTCCTTCTCGGAGACCAGTAGCTGATTACCACAAACAGCGCAGACGTTGTTGTCCAGATGCCGAGTGGGAATACCCTGAGGTGTGTAGTACTGCGAAGAAGAGGGCTTATGACCTCCAGGATGGTCAACGGATTAATCCAAACTCACGCCTATAGCCGCCGCCATCTTATCCGAGCAGATCTCGGATATATCCCGACCCAGCACTCCGATATACAGGCCGTAGAAACAAAACATCAGACCCACGTCCATCCAGGTGTTGGGGGGCTGCGAAAATAGGTAGTTCATGCCGAGGAAGGCGGCCATGATCACCAAGTAGCCAAGCAGGCCGAGGCCATAGCTCAGTTTGTAGATGAAGTAAAACCACTTGTAGACCAGTCTGAAAACGAATGAAACTGGCTGCACCTTGATTCAGGGGGGCCACCATATCTAAGGTGACTCACCTGGGAGTAGTGCCCTGGATGGGCTTGCTTATGGCTCGACGCATCACTAGCGCCGTAATGCTAGTAAAAACCAGCCAGATAATGATGAAGCGCAGCCAGCCAAAGCTGCACGAGATGATCAGCGGGATGAGCCACATAGCCAGAAGGGTGACGAAGGCGTACGAGCTGTAGTGGCGCTTCTTCCACTCGACCAGGATTATCTGAGCAATGACCAGGGTAACAAACAGGATGATCACCATTTCAGAGTGCATGGCGTCATGGCCGAGGTGCTTCTCCACCATCATTTGGTGCTCCGCTCTGTGGGAACGAAACAAAGATAGATATCAACTGAGGGAGGTTATTTTGTGCTGGGACCACTTACCGCATTCGCTCCTCCGGAGTCATCTCGTCCAGAGACTAGGGAACAGCCATGGTACCAATAAATCAGATAAGATTAAGTAGATAATCAAATGTCGATCTTTCAATCGCCCGGAAAATTACTTACCTTATTAAGGTCTACGGGCGAATGCAGGTCTATGTGCTGCTGATGCATTTTGTATTCGTTGTATCCGCCGTATTCTGTTGCCGCCAATACGCTGGATAATTCCACACGTCGTCTTCGTTATTTTGCCACCACTTATTGCTTTCAGTGCTTACCTCTGAAATTCTTGAAACGAAAACAAATAATTACATTTTGTGATTGTATGCGTGTCCAGCTGCAGTGGCGTTGCCATTTGTCATTGTGTAGGGTGTTACCTACTAAGGTTGCAAGCAACTCCCACAACCGAATTTTAAAAACCAGCCAACTGGACTGGCGTTTTTATGCAATAATTTTTCTTATGCACTGTCCTTAATCAAATTGGGCTTTTTTCACAACTTAAAACAAAAATGTCAAGCGCAACGTTGCCAGATATGGTAGCCGGCAAAGAGCGGCGCGTGTTTACCTACACTGCCGGCAGCAATCGATATTGTTTGTGATTCGACACCCAATGTATATAAATGTTTTTAATTTGGCGGAAGACATGACCCTGCCAATGGAGCACTGGGGCGCGTTTCCGACAGGAGACGACGACGTTCATCTGACGCCGGACAAATATGTGCCCACGGCGGCCAAGAAACCGAAACTAGAAGAGATCCGCCTGTGTGGTGAAGGGGAACCGCGGCCGATTGAAAATAGGTAGAGATGGCCAAATAAATCTTTGTGTTTGACTAGATTACTCAATTTTCTTCTATATGAAGCCAGACAGTGGAACTGCGGAGCGCCTTGGTCACCCAGACGATTGAGGTGATGAAACAAACTGAGGTTCTGCAGTCTCTCATCGAAACGTACTCCAATAAAAATGTAAGCCAAATAACAATTAAGGATCTCCTCGATCTTCCCATATATAACTTAATTTTTTGTGTCTTTCAATCCAGAAAAGATTCTTATCCAACTAGTCCAACATTTTTTAGCTTCTTTAAAAACATAAATTTTTCTAATGACAATGAAAATTGTTTCTCTTGAATTCAAAAACTCTATCAAAATGTATTGTACATCTAAGCTTATCGCCGTCTTCAATGTATCTTAATTAACTTAAAAACAACACTTTTCAACCTAGGGAAATTCAAACTACCTACTCAATCCCTGCCTTATAATACCTGAGGTGGACTTTCCACCAGAAAACGCCGCCGAGCTGGTCGGCAGCCAGAAATTTCAGAAGCCCATTTGGTTCACGCCCACCGTAGACACGGCATATTCCCGTGGGGACCCTCAGTCCTATCCGGAAATAACCAACACTGCCTGTTCCCAGGCGATTCGCAAGGTGATGTGCGGGATGCTGCGCCTGGCGGGATTTACCGACTGCTCCGAATCGGCAGTACAGTTGCTGACCGATGCCACCGAGGAGTTTCTGCGCAGCTTCATCGGCGAGTATCGGGGCTACTATGACACACACCCGCGGCTGCAGAAGGCGTCTACGCTGCACCTGGTGCCTCTGGAACGAGCTCACGCCGCGCTTACGGGCACTTCTCTCACCCAGGTGCACAACTATTACAAGCACAAGGTGCTGGCCAGAAATCGCGTGGAGATCGGGGAGTTTAACAGCGTGCTGCAGGAGTACGACAAGCTGATGAAGGAGAGTCAGAGCAGCATCCAGAAGCAGCATAACGAGATCAACGGCCATGACTTCCTAAACATCCTAGACAACAGCGCCACCGGTAGCAGCCAGAGCATTGGTGGCAACATGGCAATGGGCGAAATGCTGCAGGATTTGGGTGGGAGCACGGGCTCCAGTGGCACCGTCAGCTCCCAGCAGATGCTCTACAGTCTGCTGGATGGCCAGATATCTTCCAACACCTCCAATATGACGGGAACAAGCGGCAATGGCAGCACCAGTGGAAACGGTGTCACGCTCGCCAACTTTCACACTAGCTTTGAGTCGTAAAGAAACTTAAAAACCTAAACTTCATTATAAGAAGGAAGAGGATGAAAATTTTCCTAGAATTGGTTTTATGCCTTAAGGGGGGGGTAAGGTTTTAAAGGCCAAAAAAAGGGCCATGTTTTATTTTTTTTTGCGGCGAAATGAGTAAGTTTTTTTTTTTTGAGCTTTATTACATTTAATTGTTCAACTTTTGAAGAGTATTGGAAAAAAAAATTTTTTTTTTAAATTTTAGAAATAAGCCTGTGGCGATTAATCTTCCGAAGCGCCCAAAGAAAAAGTTGTTTTGCGGTGAACATCATAGGGCGTTAACGGATCATCTTAAAAAAAAAACGTGATATGCGTTGTAAAGATAATGAATTTCCCGAGGTAATCAGGAAGAGTTTTTTTTAAATTTATTTTTTGTCTATTTTTGGGAGCACTTGAAAGTGAAAAGTGCGATTTTAGCTTAAAAACTCGCTGTTAATTTATTTTTTAAAAATAGAAAAAAATTTAAAATTAAAAAAATCTCTTCCTGATTACCTGCGTATTTATGTTGAGATTTTGTGTTAAAAATTTGAAAAGGATCGGTTCAGTAGATTTTGAGTTCTGATGTTCACCGACTTTCAAAATAACGTCTTCGGCAAAATCGATTCAAAGTATTTTTATACGTGAAAAAACGTCCAAATACGGTTGTTTAAAACGCTGTAACTCCGTTAGTTTGACTTTAATTGACTCAAAATTTTTATACAATGTTCTCGACATATTGGTCATTCATAAAAAAAATAAAAAAAAAAATGTAAAAAAAAATTTTTTAAAACCTTACCCCCCCTTAAGCGGTGTTGTGCTCTAGTTTGTTGCGAAAAATATATATCAATTTTTTTTATAAAAACTTCTTCGCATAATTTGTAAAAAAAAAGCTCAAAATGAATTTTTAGAGGCCGGTGCGAATATAAAAGAAAAAATCGAATCTAATATAACCCTAATAAACCAACTCTGTTTTTATTAATTTTCTAGAATATCCAATATTAGGTTTGAAACACATAAAGCCATCATACACATTTTTTTTATTACTTTTATGTCATTTATTTTTTTTATTGATCTTCCATTCTTTCCAATTGTTTTGTCGCCTTTGCTTGGTGAACTCGTTAGTAATTTCAATTGCCAGGCAGTTTTGCAGTTTGGCTGCCTTTGGACCACTAGCTCTGTACTGGTAGATCTTGTTCTGGCGCTGTTTTTTTACAGCCCAGGCGAAAAGGTCCTTTCCCTCGAGTACGGATTGACCAGTGACTACTATAGAGTTGAAATCTTCTGGCGAATATTGTTTTTCTTTGTGGAATCGTCTCTTGAAATTAGGTTTTATTGCAGGACCTTCCTCCACCAAATCAGCTACTAAATAGCAATCAGCATCGGATACTAGCCTTACTTTGTCAAGTAGAAGTTCCTGTTTGTCCACGGCATCAGTCTTGTATGGGGAAAATTCTATTTGCTTTTGAATTATGTCACTGAGTCGCTTCCAAATGTGATTTTGCATCTCGTTCGTGGTCTGCAGATCTCTGTTGGTCTCCTGTTCATCCAAGTACCGATCGCTTTTAACTGGTTTTATAGCTTGTCGCTTGGAGTCAGCATGTTTCTCTTGAAACATCGCATTTGTGAACAGGGTGGAGTCTGTCGCCACCAGGAGTTGAGACAACTGCTCGTCATTTTCCGACTCGGAATCGGAGTCATCAGTTTTGGGTTTTTCTGTCATTTTTTGCTACTCTTTATTAATAACGTTTGTTTATACTTTTACCGGACTGGCTGAAGTAGACCTGGAGAAATCATCGGCGATGTATCGATACATCGATGTTTTCAAAACTCGGAAAATATCTAGGTTTTCAAGCATCGATGTTCGAACTTCGAAGTTCTCTCTTTTACCAATACTACTTGGCAGGTAAACAAATTTGGTTAGCTAAACAAATTTTTTTTTAATTAAATCAAATAAACCTAACGATAAAATCAGTATTTTTTTTAACGAGATGAGATAAATATTTCCATGGATTAGTGAGGTGCATTTCCGGACCCATGGTTGGGAGGCCGAAGGGAGGGGACTCTGATTCCAGCTTCTCTCGTCCAAAATTCGTTATTTGAGCCCATGTTTCGAAAATGAGTTTAAAATACCGTTTTATTTGTTTTTGTTCAGCTTACCGTATAAATGTTAGCTTTGGTTGTTTCCCTCCCTGGGATGCCCATATCGAGGGCAAGTTGCACCACAAACCAGAAAAAGGCAGGACGGACATGACAAAATTAGAGTTATAAGTTACAGTCATATGATTTGTAATATCATTTTTGTCCGATAATATGTAGTTGCGTGTCAGGAGTAGGAAAGCGATGTCGACAGTGCGGTCCCAAATAAGCGGAGAAATATTGGCAATCTTGTGTGTTAAATTATTTTAATAAATCGGCTGATGGCATGACTGCCAATTGTATTAAATGTGGCAAAATATACCAAATAGGCCCAACTTTTCTTGCCACTTGAAGAGGATACATCCTAATTTAACAATTAGTGAATTGCCATAAAGACAACAGTCATAAGTTTGTCATTCACTGACAGAAAATAAGAAAAGTCGTCGAACCGCGAACAATAATTTGACAGTGCCTTATGCTAATATGGAAAACAAAGGCTTCTGCAATTTTGAAAGCCTCCTTGTTCCAAGGTATGAGTAGCCCTCACGAACAATCTTAAGAATTGTTTGATGAAAACAGGGAAAAGTTATCCGCCGTTTTTAAAAAACGTACCTAAAGCATTTTGCAATCACTTCAGATTGCTGGGCGCCAAGGGGCAACGAATTCTACGTCATGGTGCCTTGAAAATAATAACAGTGAATTTTGAATTGCGCAACGTTGTTTTGCCCACTAGTTGCTCGACGAAACGATTGCCTGAAAATATTGCAAGCTCGACAGTACTTGAGAAATGGAGAGTTTTTTGAAAGGCCACTACTATGGTCATAGATAACGCCAAAACATAATAAAAGCATGTCAGATACTGCAAACAAGGCATATTCCACCCTTTGCACATTTAATTAATTTGACTGTCGAGGACTGTTTGGCTACAGAAAAATGAAACCCATTCCTGAAAAGTGTAAGCGCATTGCTTTTTTTTTCAAAGCACCACAATTCCGTATGCCAAGTTAAAAAAGGCTCAGGAATGCGAAGGTCCTCATTGTTTAAAACAAGAACCTACAGGGTGAAATAGCGCCTATTATATGATGGAAAGGATTTTGATGACTAAGGCCGCTATCGCAAGTGTGCTACTAAACACGACCAACGCCAAAGGGTTAATGTTGCTAGCATCTGACGAAATATTCATTCTGGAGCATTTAAATGCAATACCATCACCTTTTGAGCATGCAACGGTTCACACATCTACAAGTACATATGTGACAGTGTCACCGGTATTCTTGTTGTTTGTGAGGTTTTACACCATCTCACAGTGGGCCAGAAAATCCAAAAAGTGGCAAAAAACCGATTTCGGAATTTCAAAAAAGTAGTTAGCTGTATTAAAAACGGATATATTGAACTAGTATTTGTCAAAGTTTCAAAGCATTTGGTTACAAATTACAATTTTTACAAGGAATTTAAATAGAAAATATTGCTTGAAACTCAGATAAATGTACCTTGCCTTAAATACAAATAAATTTTTATTTCTATGTGATACAAAACTATTTATTATTTTTTTTACAACTAATAATGTTACGGAAATCAAAAATAATAGTTTTTTAGTTTTTAGTTGAAAAAGAAGAAGAAGATTTCTATGATGAGGATAAACATAATATGTCAAATATACTCAATGAACTGGATGAAATTGAGCTCTCAGAAAATAAAAAAAATTAAAAAATATACGAAAATTTTAAAAAATTAAAAAAATGCAAAAAAAAATTAAATTTAAAAAATGCAAAAAAAAAATTAAAAAATAAAAAAAAATTAAAAAATAAAAAAAAAAATTAAAAAAAAATTTTAAAACCAAAACAAAAAAAAAAAACGGGATGTTAAATCGGTTTAGGAGCCTTCTCGTCGCACATCCTGAGTGCTTTAGCAAAAGCAGCTAATCCTAAGCGAAATATATAATTATAAAACAAAATTATCACAAATCCTGTTTAAAAATATATAAATTGATATAAAAAATTAAAAATAATGATTAGAAGTAATTTAATAACAAGTTTCAATGAGAATTAATCAGTTTTTAGAAAAGTCATCATCAGGGCTAACAGAGTTATGTTTTTAAATGAAAAAATATTTATTTCCATATTTTCGCCTTTTTTCCTATAAATCCATATTTTACACAATCACTTGAATAAATCCATATTTTGAGCATTAAAGCTTAAATATTATGAAATTTCTGTCGTTTGCCTTATACTCATCGATTACTTATCGATTAATTTTATATCTATTTACATTAATGGTATTCCTTATTGTCTAACGATAGGTTGTATTCCGTATTTGCCTATATTATTACATCGAATCTTATGTAGTGTTGTTAGTTTCCGTTACTTTCAAGTTTTACTTAATCATGCCGAAAACACAAAAGAAAGTACACGCGCGTTTTTGACGCGAATGCTACGTGAATATCCACATGTTTTTCGTGCAGATGAATCCGTTTTATTTTGTAAATTCTGTGAAGTGAAAATCAACGCCACGCAATTATTTCAAGTCAAGCAGCATATTGCAACACTGAAGCATGTGAATTCGGTTTCTAATAAAGAAAAGAATCAGCAATTGAGCCAAACCTTGGATAAAGCACTTTCAGGCTTTTCATAGCTTTGGTCATATATGGCGCCGCGTCCGTTACGAACAAACAAAACTTTATCGTATTGTATTCCTGTAAGTAAAATTTTATTTTTGAGCAACAAACAAACAATTTCAATACAAATTTCACTACATGCTAAACATACCAGCTGGCCAAAGTGAATTTCAGCAATCAACACATGGACCGAAATTAAGTGGTTTCTGCACGCAATTGGCAAACACTTTTCTACGTGCAGATATACCATTGCACAAAATTGCACATCCGTGCATGCAAGAATTCATCTCCGAGTTTACGGGTTTTGCAGCACCTTCCGAAAGTTCACTTCGAAGTACATATATGCCAAAATTGTACGAAAATTGTCTGGAAAAAATGCGTAAAAAGGCCGTGGACAATTACATTTGGATTACTGTAGACGAATCGACGGATTGTGAACAAAGATTTGTGGCTAATTTCGTATTCGGTGTTTTGGGCGTCGAAGAGGAGAAAGGCCTCAGTTATTTATTTTCCATCAAAATACTGGAGCTTGTTAATAGCAACACACTTGCCACATTCTTCAATGACTGTTTAAGTTCACTTTGGCCAGCTGGTATGTTTAGCATGTAGTGAAATTTGTATTGAAATTGTTTGTTTGTTGCTCAAAAATAAAATTTTACTTACAGGAATACAATACGATAAAGTTTTGTTTGTTCGTAACGGACGCGGCGCCATATATGACCAAAGCTATGAAAAGCCTGAAAGTGCTTTATCCAAAAATGGTTCATTTGACGTGTTTAGCTCATGGTTTACATCGCGTAGCTGGAACAATTCGTACTAAATATTCGAACGTCAATAATCTGATTTCAAACGTGAAAAATATCTTCGCAAAGGTGAGTTTGGAATTTGCAGATTACTGTAATATACCGCGGTTTGACGTTTACATTCATTTGCTACTCCTCGCAGGCTCCACTTCGACGCCAAAAATTTGCGCAAGCGTTTCCAAATATTCCACTTCCACCTAGGCCAATTATTACTCGCTGGGGCACGTGGATTGAGGCCGCCATATATTTTGCCGATCATTTTGAAGAAACGCGTTCAATCATCAACTCTTTCGATGCGGATGATGCTGAATCTATTCGAGCAGCTCAAGACCTACTGGCTATGCCAAGCTTTAAGATTGACTTAGCTTATCTCAAAAGAAACTACTCGTGTATTGTAACTGCGCTGAATTCGATACAATCCCAAAAAATTTTTGTGCCTGATGGAATTGACCTGTTCTTAAAAGTTGGTGTCCAATTGAAAAAGGGGAACGATTCAGTCATTTGTCAAAAGTTTGATTCTGTATCAAATAAGAATCCAGGTCTGCGAATTCTTCAGGACATATCGCGAATGTTAGCAGGAAATCTGATTCATAGTTCTACAGAAGGTGACGATCTTATCGCGAATTTATCACCTGGTGAGCTGAATGCATATGCAAATGCTCCTGTTACATCTTGCGATGTTGAGCGTTCATTTTCATCTTATAAACATATATTAAGTGACAAACGCCGTAGTTTTATTTTTAGTAATCTTACACAACATGTCATATTGTTCTGCAATAATCTTTAAGACATTAAAATATAATATGATCGATATAATCGTCTACGTGTTTCCATTTTTATACCTATATTTATCCCTTTTTTCTTCCATATTTCGTCCATATTTCTCTATTTTTTCGTCCATAAACCCATACATATTTTAACGTTTTTAAGAACATAACTCTGTTAGCCCTGGTCATCATATTCAGTCCGCCATTTTGCTTCCGCCATTTCGAATTTTGAAAATCCAATTTCAGATTCGGAATCAGCGACCCCAAGAACATAAGATAACATACTAAAAGTTTTAAATCTATTGATAATTTGGGAGTTATTAATTTTTGCCACTTTTTTCCAATCCTGGCCCACAGTGCATCTGACAGATTGATGTCAGAATCCACAGTCCAACCTACTTTTCAGTTTTTTATAAACGAACTAAACTCAAACAACTCAAAGCGCTCGCGTGAATTGTGGCAATATTTGAACGCCAGTAATTTGGAGCATGCATATATCCCTTTGGATTATTGGGAAGGTACGAAAAGTAACAATTTAGATGGCAACCAACTTAAAAATACAAATTTCTTATTTAGGCAGATATTAAATGATACCGCATTCAAAACATGCGTTTTGAAATACTTTTGCATACCGACTTTCACTGAAAGTGAGAGGATGTTCAGCAATGTAGGACTTGTCTTTAGCGAAAAGCGAAACTCGCTAGAACCAAAAAATGTCAACATGATATTATTTCTGAACAAAAATGATTGGATATTTTAATTTAAATTATGTTGCTTATTTCTTTTTTTTTTTGAGTAGAACTCGATGTTTTTTATTTTCGTTTTAATTGAATTGTGATTTAATTTTAATTTTAGTGTTGGACGAATAAGTAGTTTTAAGTTTCATTTTGAAATTTCAAGAAATATAAACAGACAACTATGGGTCTCGAATTAAGCCTAATTTTTTAAAAACAACTTTTACATATTTGAATTATTTATTTTATAAATACATATGTAAATATATTATTATACCCTTGCAGTGCAAAGGGTATTATAATTTAGGCCAGAAGTTTGCAACGCAGTGAGGGAGAAACCTCAGACCCCATAAAGTATATATATTCATGATCAGCATCACGATCTGAATCGAAATATGTCTGTCTGTCCGTCTGTCCTCCTGTCCGTTTCTGCGCAAACTAGTCTCTGAGTTTTAAAGCTACATATCTTGCTGAAACTTTCCCAAAAGTTGTGTAGTTATTGCACGCAGTTTATAAGTCGGAAGGAACGGATTGGGCGACTATATCGGATAGCTCCCATACGAGAATTGGAAAAAAAAAATTATTTCTCCGTTGTTTTCATATCATATCGACTTGACTTCTTCCAGATGTGATTTTTTTTACCTACTATTGAGTTTCAAATTAAATGTTATTAAAATCGGATAACTCTATTATATAGCTGCCATAGGAAAGATCGAAAAATATATGTATAAATAGTGAAAAAAATTATAAAGTTGTTTTTTATCTTAATACCCATGAATCAAGAACAAATTTTATAAAAATCGCAAAACTATATCATAGATAACTATCATAGGAAAGATTGAAAATCTCTATAGAATTAACGGCAATTAACGGAAAAAAATGATAAAATCGTTGTTTTTCATCAGAAAATCAAAATTTTTTAAATATAGTTTATATAGTTTTATAATGACTATTGAATTTCAAATTAAATTTCATAAAAATCGGACAACTGTATCATATAGCTTTCATTTTAACAATCGTCGAAAATGTAGAAACTTCATAAAAAAATCGACATAGCTTCTATGTTGTTAAGCTTCTATTTATTTGTTTTGACATATTTGATGACTGCAGGGCTATATAAGCTTCGACTTGCCGAAGCTAGTTTCTTTTCTTGTTTTTTTTTAAATAAATTTTTCAATACGAGACCCTAAAAAATGCTATCTATCGATACATCGATGTTATTTGAAAACATCTAAACATCGATACTCCAGCTCTAGGCTTAAAACGTTACATGCGAAAATGAAATTGTCGATAAATTCTGAAAAATGTTGTTTTCCGATAAACCAAGGAAACAAGCAATAGGTGGCGGACACATTTCGTCGATACCGATGTTCACTTATCAAATTAGCGTGACTATAAAATTTGGGTCAAGAAGGCTGTTTAGTCTGTCGATTAATAGGGCAGGAAAATATAGAAAAATTATCGACAGATTCTAAAAATGTTGAATGGATACAAGGAAACCGCCAACCACAGTATATGGCATGTCATGTCCTGCTTTTCGCGTGTTTATGTTGCCGGCTAGTTAGCGAGATCCCAGGGGGGGAACAACCCAAATTCTTACACGCAGCAGTCACAACAAAAAAAAAACAAACAAAACGGAATTTTTTTGGATCTGGACAACTAATTTGAACACAACGGAAATTTTCGGAATATCCAGATTGGACTACCTCACCAAATTGGTAGCCCTCGGAGTCCCACCCAACCATGAGTGCATCCTCGTTCCAATTTCGGACACATCTCCCAAATTTTTAAGTCGTGAGCAAGGTAGTCCGACTAAGTCATCTCACCCCCCCCCCCACCAACGGGAATATCTATTCAGATGGATTCATTTCTTTTTTTAATTCGTTATAATTTTAGAATTCATTTTATACTTATATACTAATATATAGAACACCTAACCACGGTACCGCAGGACGACTACATGGAACATATATAAATAAATAATAAATAAATAAATAGAATGTAATAAATAATAATGAATAAATAAATAATTGAATAGTGGAAAAATAGGGGATTTTAAATTACTTCATTTCTTCTTTTTTTTTTTTTTTTTGGATATTCGGCTAGTGAATTTTAATTTAATTTAATTAATTTTTAATTCGGGGTTGGGTTTCTTTTGTTTTATATATTACTTATATCTAATTAATTTTAAGTAATTAATGAAATAAATAAAATACAAAAAAAAACCTGGGGCCACCCAGACCGAGTGGCCAAATTTTCATCACAAAAAATTTCGCCCTCTTCTTATGGGGTGCTGCTCCTCGTTCAAACCGACAAAAATCTTCCTTCCTGGGAATAACTATAATTTACAAATTTTTATTTTTCACTTTTAGCACCTCTTTCTTTTATTTTATTTAAATATTTAACTCACTTTTCTTAAGAAATTTTTTTACAATTTTGAAAATTTTTAATTAATTTTTCTTTGTTTCTGCCGACCGCCAACTTGAGATAACCTCTTCCAAAAAAATGTGTTTTCCTTTTTTCTTTAAGCCTCTCTTTTTCTTTCGCAAAAACCATTCAAAATCTTCACTTCGGAGTTATCCGGTCTAGGGAACCAGTTCCGCAGTGCACTCTGCTGCCCGACCCCCTGGACTCACGAGTCTATCGATAACTTATTATCGTCGGCCGTTGGTAAACAAACACTGTTTACATTTTATTTGGTCTATTAATTTTGTTTGTTTGGCCGCACATAACAAGCACACTACGGTTTCGGGGCTTGCCGCGGAACAGGAGTGGAGGATGTGCGTCTGAAGATGGTGTGCTGATTCTGTCCAGCCCAACGTAGGCCACCGCCCACAACCCTGAGATTAAGATCTGGTAAGTACGATTTGCTAGCCGGGCACTATTGTTGGAGGTCCTTTGACAAACACTTGGAACTCTCTTTTAGGACTTCTTTCCACGACACCTGGTGCGACTTTTTGAAATGTTCTAGCCGAACTATAAATCCGTACCATGGCATTCTTTTAGGACTTCCATCAAAGGTAACTGCCAATTTTCTTACTTTATTTACTTGTACCAATGAATCTTTTTTACTCTCCTTCATCAGGTGCGGATATTGCCCAGGGTGACGGGCATTCGGTACTCTGTTTTGGCCGTAAGAATGTCCTTGATCTGTTGTTCGTGACCAGTTTGCTCTCCGGCGCTCGGGATCCGTGTACCAGTGAACTTTCTGACCGCTTTCTTCTTCCTGCTGGTCTATATTCACGGACAACGGACTCAACGGGATCTGTTCTGTTGTTCTAGCTGGTTTCAACCCTCCTTCCCAGCTTCGGTCGCTTTTCTGCTGATCAGCGGATGGCACTGGAGGTGTAAGATGAATTTCCCCAGGACGACTTGCTGGTACCTCTGGTGCTGGTTGTAGTGGCGTCTGATTATTGGCTGATCGACTCGTGTTCTGTTGTGGATTTGTCGGCTCTGGCGATGGAACCCCAGAAAGTGGCTGTTCTTGATCTTGACCCGTGTCTGAGTCTGGGTCAATGAACTGAGTCGATGCCAACCAAGCTGCGTTCTCGTTCCTTATCTCCCGCCGCCACTCCGACATGCAGTCGTTTAGGTCCTTCATAAACTGCATCATGTCCTGCCGCATCTGACGCCTAAATGCCTCATATTCCAAGGACATCACCGTCTGGTAAGTTTGTTGTGCTTGGAACAGTGCTACATTAACTCCTGATTTTATTTCAGATGGCAGCGACTTCGGTATGGCCCCAGTTCCGCTTACAGTTAGGCGACCACTAGCTTCTCCTGGACTTTGTTCTTGGATTCCATGAGGAATACGGTCAGTTGTAAACTCCATATCTGATAACTCGTCCTGAGATATCTTTTCTGGTTTTCTTTTCTATTTTTTTTTTTTTTATTTAATTGGATTCGGATCGAGTTATTGGCGTACTCATATCCACTGGTCCCCTATTCCGAATTAATACCAAACTTCTCCTAGTTTTTCTTCCTGTTTGAATTCTATACCTATCACTATTTGACATATCCTAACTCCTTTCCTATGTATATCTGTCTATTTCCTTTTTCTTCAACTTTATCTAATATGGGGGGGGGGGGATGAGACGTCACTATTTCCACTACCCACTAACTTTTTCTCTCCTTCCCTTCAATTCCTAATCCGTTGTGTACATTAAAAATTACTAGCAATAATTTAATTTATCTATTAATTTATTTAATTTTTTCAGAATCCGCCTGCAATTTTAACGGGCAACGATGTTACGACTGGATATTATCGTACATGGACCACATTAAATTTTTGCATAATACGGACTGCCAAATTAGGTACGTGAACTTTTTACTTTACAAAAAAAATACAACATTAAAAGACCAATATTTACTTTACATTTTACATTTACTACAAACAGATTTCGCCTCAACTCAGTCTGGCTGCGCATGTGCCGCTCTTTACTCGGCCATGGGTCCACTACTGATCGGCGATTTCAGGACTTTACCACTGCGGCTTCGAGGATCTTAACCCTTATGGTTCGTCCTCGGTCCAAGCAGCTGGTTTTAGTTCCCGCTTCCGGTTTTATTATCTTCCGGTAAATATCTGCATTTTCTTGTATTTAATCAATTTAAATTAATTTTTTCTTTCAGTCTGTATTTGAAACTGCTGGGCAACGATGCTACACATTGTCAACCGTGTACATGGACCACAACAATTCCGCACAAAGACAACAGATTTAGATAAGTTATTCAAATTTACTTTACTTTAGACAACATATTAAAAAGACAATTGTTTATTTCTTTCAGACACATTCTAGCCTGTCTTCCTTTCACATCAAGGACTGTGCTCAGCAACAAGGACTTCTCAGAATTTCCCCACTGTGGCTGCGATGGGTCTGACCTATTTCGTCTGCCCACGGTCCAAACAGATGGTTTCTGAGATTTTAGTCGTTGGCTTTCATCCTGGTGAGTATTTACTTTATATGAATTGATTCCATTTTATTAATTTTCTTCTATATTTTTATTTTTAGATTGGGCGCCATTTGTCATGTCCTGCTTTTCGCGTGTTTATGTTGCCGGCTAGTTAGCGAGATCCCAGGGGGGGAACAACCCAAATTCTTACACGCAGCAGACACAACAAAAAAAAAAACAAACAAAACGGAATTTTTTTGGATCTGGACAACTAATTTGAACACAACGGAAATTTTCGGAATATCCAGATTGGACTACCTCACCAAATTGGTAGCCCTCGGAGTCCCACCCAACCATGAGTGCATCCTCGTTCCAATTTCGGACACATCTCCCAAATTTTTAAGTCGTGAGCAAGGTAGTCCGACTAAGTCATCTCACCCCCCCCCCCCCACCAACGGGAATATCTATTCAGATGGATTCATTTCTTTTTTTAATTCGTTATAATTTTAGAATTCATTTTATACTTATACACGGTACCGCGGTTAGGTGTTCTATATGTTAGTATATAAGTATAAAATGAATGCTGAATTTATAATGAATTAAAAAAAAAAAGAAGATGAACTTAAGCGAATAGATTCCTCAAGCGGGGTGGATGAGAGGAGTTGAAATGTTTCCATGAAAACTATATTAGGGAGGTGCAATATAGGATGCACTCATGGTCGGGCGGGCCTCCGAAGACTTAAATTACATCTTTTGAGTCCATATATGTCTGTCTAAAAATCCGTTGTGTTAGAAAATGTTGTTGTTAAAGTTTGATATTCCGTTTTGTTTTTTTTGTCGTGTCTGCTGCGCGAATATTTGTGGTGGTTCCCCCCCTGGGATCACGCTAGCTAGCCGGCAACACAACCGCGCGAAACGGCAGGACATGACAGGCAATTTGTTAGCCAAGACACAACCCTTTATTTCTTGCATAAAAAAGTCATTCGATTTATTTCTGCACCGCTCAAGTTCCCCTTTGCATACCATTATATTGCATTCGAAATTAATTAATATAATATGTGACGAACTGCATTTTTTTTGGGCAGCGCCGCTAGCTCAGCGATCCATTTGGGCCAAGTTCTCCCCAATGCCCGCAGTCCGACAGCATAAAATCGATTGCTCGATGTCTCACAACATTGAATTACTACGATCTCTAACAAAAAGGTAAACAAACAAAAATTCAAATTCAAAACATTCAATTACAGGGCGACGGAAATTTGGATCCTTGGTGGCCATCGGTGTTCCTGGCCACTGCGTACCCACCCAATCTAGGATGCTAGGTAAGAATAATCCCCGCATCACCCATAATGGGTAAACTAGTCACTCCAGGCGACTAACTTAACTCCATCTCCCCCACAGAAAAAGGTCTAGCAATTCCTCATCATTATAAACTGGTTTTAATTACTCAGGTGAGTATAATTGACATTGTTACTTATATTTATCTAATCAAAAATTTAATCACATACAGGCCACAGGATCGCTAATCGACCGCCATCGTTAAATTTAGCGGAATTTGGAGATGTATGTTAATGGACTGGCCAACTTCGTGGCACCAGTCGCTCGCGAGGGAAATTGGCCACTATCGGAGGCACCCCGACGCGGAACGGACTCACCGGAGATCTGGAGTCCGAGAATGTGAACTGGGTTGTCGATGGTGAGTGTTTGTCCTGATTCCTGCGTGAGTCAATCGATGTCCATCCAAAATTATATCTCTTCCAAATATGTTTTCTCCGAAAGGTTGTGCTTCCTTAAGTTGTGCTCCCTCGAATCTTTTTCTCTGCAAAACATCCGTGAGGCGTCTCGGCATGGAATCCACTAGTTTTTTTGTTTCATCTGCAGTAATTTTCCCCCACTCCTCCAGAATCACATCCTTGAGCATTTTTTTTGATGTAATCGTGTGTTTTCGGATTTTCCTCTCAAGAAGATCCCACAAATGCTCAATGGGGTTTAGATCAGGACTCTGGGGAGGGGTTCGCAGCTGATTTTTGACATTATACAGCAGCCAAAGCTTGGTATTCTGTGCCGTGTGCTTCAGGTCGTTATCTTGTTGGAACCAATATTCACTTTCGAGCCCTAATTTTTCAGCACTTTCTTTTAAATTATTTTTAAAATGTCAATATAGATTTTTTGATCCATTATTGACTCAATAAATACCAACTTTCCAACGCCACTTGCTGCCATACACCTCCACACCATTATTCTGCTTCCTCCGTGCTTTACTGTGCCAACCAAATTTTCTTTATTAAAGGCTTCTCCGCTTTTCGTCCATACCAAAACCTTTCCCTTAATTCCAAAGAGGGAAAATTTACTTTCATCGGAAAAAATAACCTTATTCCAGAAGTCTTGGTTTTTGGAAATATAGTCATTAAAAAAAGGTAAGGCGTTTTTGTCTATTGACTTTCGATATGTGAGGTGGGCGGGCGACTCTGCTGTGGTAGCCAGCCTTTTTTATGACCCGGCGTACAGTATCCTATCCTCGACCTGTAGCTTTGCCTGATGAGCTGTCGTCCTTGGGTTGAGCTGGATAGATTTGTCAATATTCCTCTGCTCGCGGATTGTAACCAAAGGCGGTCGGCCAGAACGAACCTGTTTCGCATTGCACCTTGCAACACGAATTTAGTTGCGGCTTGCCCTTGTGCAAGCCCAAGATCTCGATGTGAGAGTGTGTGTGGGGGTGTTTGCCCTTGTGCAAACGAGAGTCCAAAAAGAAATCAAGAGACAGAGAGGTGTTCTGTATTCTACAAATATCTGTATTGAACTAATCTCAGCTTACAAGCTTTATGCTGATGCCAAGCGTGCAAGCTCGTTTGGTTACAGTAAGTGGATCTTATTTACAAGTACAAAGCAGGATATTCGTTTATGATGCTTCTACATACTCCCCCCGTTGGAAGGACTCTGGTCCTTGCAATAGATCCTTAGACTGGGAGTGGCGCAATTTTACAAATGGGACGGCGAGTAACTCCTTTCATCGTCTTTATATCCACAACTCTGACTCTTCCGTCAGCTCCAGCACAAGTGTTTAAGATTCGGCCGAGAGGCCACTGCTGAGGTGGAGCGTTGTCATCGTGGATAACTACCAGTTGTCCAGGTGTGATGTTGGCTTGCGGCGTCAACCATTTGCTGCGGAGTTGCACAGTGTGAAGGTAGTCTCTTCGCCAGAGATCCCACAACTGCTGTTTGAGATACGTGACCCGCTACCAGCGAGTCAGAATGTTAGGGTTCCGACCCTGCAAACACGGTTTTGGAAGCGCCTTTATAGAAGAACCTAATAAGAAATGAGATTGGGTTAGAGCTTCTTCATCATTCGGATCCTCTGATATTGGTGCCATTGGTCTTGAATTTAGGACGGCTTCGACCTCAATGGCAACAGTTTGCAGCTCCTCGTATGTCAGACCAGAATTGCCAATGTTTTTAATCAACAAATGCTTCATTGACTTCACCGCCGCTCCCCAGAGCCCGCCGAAGTGCGGCGCACGTGGAGGGATGAAGTGAAACAATACGCCCGTTGAAGAGGTGAACGTCTGTAGGTCTTGAAAGGCCTGATGACTGAACAACTGCTTTTTGAAACCGTCGAGTTGGGATTGAACACCAACAAAATTAGTTGCGTTGTCGCACCAAATACTCTCTGGCAGTCCTCTGCGTCCAACGAAGCGCTTTAAACATAAAACAAAAGTATTAGTGGAGAGGTCTGATACAAGTTCAACATGTACTGCTTTGGTTGCAAAGCAGATTAATACGGCCATATACGTTTTGTATGGAACTTTTCCACGTATCCGGTAGGAGGTTAAAAATGGACCACACAGATCTACTCCTGAGATAGCGAATGGGTTGCTTAGAGTAAGCCTTTCAGCTGGCAAGGATCCCATAATTTGTTGCATTAGTCTGGGCTTGTAATGGCAACAATGAATACATTTCCTGACTACCTTGGCGGCGATGCGACGAGCGTTCACGATCCATATTTGAAGCCTTAAAATTCCAATCAGCGCTTTGGGGCCCGCATGCATATTGACCTTGTGAAGATGTTCCACGTACTTATACATAGGTAAAAGGGTGATTTGTAGGAAAAAGCAATGGGAATTTTGCATCGACAGGAATCGGAGCGTTTGCTAAGCGGCCACCGACTCTGATCACTGTGACAGTTCGATGTCCAATGGCAGCTTCAGCTACAAACGGAGTCAATTTTTGAAGATGTTGACTGAGACGATTTCCCTTTTTAGGTCAACTAATTCCTTCGCAAAACTTTGGCTTTGAATGGTGGAGATGAGATATACAAACGCCCTTTTAATTTCGCTAGCTTCTAACTTGATAGGTTGTGAGCCAAGAAGCTGTCTACTGGCAGGAACGCCATTAAAAACGCTACAATCCGGAGAATTCGAAGATATGATGAGGTTCTGCTGATAAGTTGATTAATGATGGTTCCCTCGGTGCCACTATCGCTACATTTAAAGGTTGATGCTTTTCGCAATTCTAGTGCGGTATCTGCTGAGCTGGCTGTACGTTTTTCTTGTGGCCACGAGAATTTATCAAATCTAAGAAATGTTGGCCCTGTGAACCAGATTGTGTTTGGAAGATCTGCTGCTGTGCATCCTCGAGATACGATATCCGCTGGATTCTCCTTACCCGGAACATGTCGCCATTTAACGTTCGCAGACTTCGTTTGAATTGTTGACACTCGATTGGCTACAAAACACTTAAGCTGGGATGTGTGCATTGTAATCCACTGCAAGACAATTGTCGAATCTGACCAAAATGTGACATCCTTGGAAATGTTTTCAAACTTGTGTTTGATTTTATCCCAAGTTTTACACAGCAGCAAAGCTGCGCACAATTCTAATCTCGGGAGACAGACAGTCTGAAGAGGTGCCACCTTTGATTTTGCGATAACTAGATGTGATTCCGCTTGTCCTCCTTGAGATGATCGAAGATAAATGCAGCACCCGTACGCAAGCTCTGAGGCATCTGCAAACCCGTGTATTTCGCACTCCATATTGCGAGAAGAATTGACAAATCTTGGCACTTCAATTTGGTTTAGCAACTGTAAATCAGTCTAAATTCGCCTCCAGCTTTCTTGCAGCGTTGCTGGCAGTGGGTCATCCTATTCAAGACTATGCCTCCAAAGCAGTGTTGGGCAAATTTTAATTGCAATTAACAATTAATTAATTGGTAAATGTAACCACAACAACTAACAATTAATCAACTGTAATTGTGAAAATTTTCAATTAACAATTATTTAGTTGTTTACTGTATTAGTAACAATTAACAATTTATTAATTTTCAATTGTTTTGTTAAATTTAATTAAAAATAACAATTATAAAATACCGAATAAAATAAAAGACCGATCCAAATAATAATCAATACTTTTTATTGAACAATATTAGATAGACAATAACAATTTAAAATTTCTTTTAATAATTTAAATTACACTTCAGTACCACTCTCTTCTCGAACATACTGTCTGATAGTTTGTGACTCTTTGGCAGATTTGTCATTGTCGCAAAAGAAAAAAGACGTTCCACTGCAGCTGACGATTGCAAAGGTGTGTTGTATTTAATAAAAATACTTTTTATCTTAGGATATCTATTGAGAAGTTGTAAAGTTTGGCTTTCCTCGGCAAAAAATGTAAAATCAAAAGTTCTGCTTTAGTCATTGGGGCATCGGAGGAGCATCCGTTTTTATGAAGACAGATTTAGAAAAAATAAGCTATACATACAGCCTTTGACCACATTTTTATTCATCTAAAGTCTAGCACTTATAGCTAAATTTTCCTAAATCTTTACTAATTTCATTTTGATACATAAAGTTAATTATTAGTTTTAATTGTTTTATAAAACAACTAAAAAATTTAATTGCAATTATTTTAATTGTAAGTTGCAATTGACAAACATTAATCAAATTATTTAATTTCAAGGTACAATTAAAAGCTCAATTGCGATTAACTTAATTGTAATTAATTTAATTGCAATTACTTTTTTAGTCAATTAACAAGAAAATTGACAAATTAATTGTGTTCGGAGCAGACAGCCAGCCCCTAATCTGGTGCGCATAGGTGTGCCGCTGCAGTTGCATATTTGTAATCCGCTCTTCAAGCCTCTCTTTGCTTATCAATGTTATCTATCTATTTTATCTATAATTTCCAAAGCGACGGTATAAATAAGTCGCGCTTTCGGCTTATCTCGCCTCAGATGAAACACCAACTAATCTCGCATACATTGTTCGCGCAAACACAAACGAAGAGTTGCAGCTCCAAATAAACATACAATTAATTAACTAAACCTATCGTGCGTTTGGTTTCTTACAAGGGTGGCATATTCGTTGTCTTCCCCACAAACATTTTGGTGACCCTGACGTGATATTCGTTCACGTAATTTTCGTTTAAATCGGAGTCTGCAACTCAATTTTCGTTTTGGTTCAAATCGGTTAAACATTTGTCGTCGTTTGCTGGCATTCGGTCACAAACACACAAACGTACATACACAGTGCATTTTGTACATTTCGCGCTGTGTTTATCAGTTCTTTCGCTTTTGCTATTCAGGCAAAATCTGTGCAAGAACAACAATAACTTGCACAAAGGTTCCGTAACCTTTTTGTGACGCTTGGTGCCTTAACATTTTCGCGCTTGTTTCGTGCGGTGTTTCGTGCATCGTGAATCCGTTCAGAAATTACCTTTTATTTTTTCGCGTGATTTATAAAATGCCTAAATTTGTGAACGAGATTCAGTCTCAAAACGGCCCTAGTGACATAGAATACTTTCGGGCCAAAGTGCAATCCTATTTTCGGCAAATCAACGCGATGAAGGATTATTTGGTGCCCAGCAATATTAATCAATTTGATGAGGCCGATATTCTCGCGCGGTTGAAATGGATTGACGCACAAAACTTGGCATTTGATTCTGCCCAGACATCGCTGGATAGGCTGGAATTTTCGGAGGTCGTCATGGATGTGGAGGCTAAACTAAATCGACGCTTAGCGGCCCAACGCAAACTGCCATTTGCTGGTGCCACAGCTGGCAATTCTACATATCTGGACAAAATCGTTTTACCAAGGTCCACCACCGATGCTTCCACCAGGCAGGCAACCACACACCCCCAGCGGAACACTGAGGAACAAGGCGGCGGCTGGAGCCCTGGCAGCTATGAGGGCCCGTAGCGATTGCGAGGCGAATCACCAAGCCTACGACATGCAGGACGATGCGAACGACGAGCTGCGATTCATGTTGCATCAGCGGGAGCGACGCAAGGATCTCGATTGTGTCTTTCTTTGCTGGTCTGGCTCGTCTATCGTGTTTGCTTGGTTTCGGCAACCTCCGAGGGAGTTTAACGCTTTTATATCCAACCGAATCGCAAATATTCAGGAGATGGGAATGCCTTGGCATCATGTCCCAACTAATCTCAATCATCGTTTCGCAACTCAAATTGGAGCCGTTTGCATGGATATTTCTATATTTCGAATTGCAGAGCCAAAGCTTCACCTTCAGATGGCCATCTATCCGTTGAGGAGATCAACTCGGGGACCGTACTTCTTCTAAGGAGCATCCAACAGGTTCACTTAGCCAAGGAATATGGGTTTCTCAGCCAGAGCAATTGGCGTTGGACGCGTTCAAGAAGTCATACCCGGTAAGGACGGCATCGTCAGAGTAGCTATGGTTTGGACAGCTACGGGCAGCCGCCTCCAAACCGTTCTGCTCATCGACTTCCATCAAGTTGGAACCGTACCTCTTTCAACGGGGGGAGTATGTTCGGAGCAGACAGCCAGCCCCTAATCTGGTGCGCATAGGTGTGCCGCTGCAGTTGCATATTTATAATCCGCTCTTCAAGCCTCTCTTTGCTTATCTATGTTATCTATCTATTTTATCTATAATTGTCAAAGCGACGGTATAAATAAGCCGCGCTTTCGGCTTATCTCGCCTCAGATAAAACACCAACTAATCTCGCATACATTGTTCGCGCAAACACAAACGAAGAGTTGCAGCTCCAAATAAATATAAAATTAATTAAATAAACCTATTCGTGCGTTTGGTTTCTTACAAGGGTGGCATATTCGTTGTCTTCCCCACAAACAAATTGATTAATGCCCAACACTGCTCCAAAGCACTTGTACGAACATTTTGTACCGAATATTGATTGGACTTAGAAGTCCAAGGAGGTCGTATAAACTGGCAATAATGGAAATAATTTGCCTCTTGGTGGTAGCTTCGGATTCCGGTAGATCAAATCGGAAGCAAAATATATCCATTTGCGACTTCCATGACATTCCCAAAGCCTTTGTCACTTCTTTGTTTTCCATCTTAAACTGGTATTCTCCTACACATTTGCCCTCGCCGCTAAAATTCCACTTGGACAGCTTTAAACCTGCTCGTGAGAGAATCTCTTCGGTCTGAAGCATTTTAATTTGCAAATCCTCTAAGCTGTCTGCTCCTGTCAGAAGGTCATCTACGTACATGTCGTTCTGTATAGTAATCGATCCAATTGGGAATTCCTTTTCGTATCTTTTGGCAATGAAATTAAGACTCTGTATAGACAAAAACGGAGCACTAGCAAGGCCGTAAGTCACCGTATTCAAACGAACAATTGTTTCGTTGAGGCTGATGAATACTATCTCTCCAGAAAATAAGCTGGAAATTACGGTCTTCAGGGTCGACCAAGCATTGCCGATACATTTTGGTTACGTCAGCTGTGAATACGAATTTGTGCAATCTGAAAGCCAACAACGTTATAATCAAATTTTGCTGGATCGTTGGTTCAACCATTAGAATGTCGTTTAGAGACAAATTTGATGTTGTTTTGGCTGAGGCGTCAAAAACCACACGCAGTTTAGTAGTTGAGCTTTGAGGCCGCAACACTGCATGGTGCGGAATGACATAGTGAGGTTGATCAATCCTAAAATCAGACGCGAGTTCCATGTGACCAAGATCTATGTATTCTTTCATAAACTCGGCGTACAACTTCTTTTGTTCAGGTAAGCGTTCTAAATGGCGCTCAAGCTGAAGGAACCGCCGTCTAGCAT